AAGAGATCAAAGCAGAGGCCACTTGCAGAACTCAGGCAGCATGACTGGCACTGCATTCTCTTGGTTACAGGAGGCACTGAGGCCAGCCCTGATTCAAGGGAAGGGAAATTAGATGCCACTTCTTGATGAGAGAGTAACGAGGTCACGTTGCAGGATGGGAGATAGTGTTGCGGCTGCCTCGGGACAGCGCTTTCTGCCTCCGTGGATAACGGAGACATTTGTGGGGATGAGTGCTGGTGGGGGCGGAGCCCCTCCGCAGGTCAAGGAGGGGGTTGTTGTTGTGAACCTGACCAGTCTGAGATATTTATGGGACATCCGCCTGCGTTGCTGGTTAGCCGGCAACTGGAAATATAGGATGAAGTAGTAGAAATGAGCCAGGATGGTGCAGCCTGCCCCTGGGAAGTGACAGAATTTGATGTTGTGATACCACATTGTAATAGGTGGCACTGAGCTTTTTTTCTAGAATTCAGTCCTTAGGGTAGTTGATCGACTTTGGGGTTTTGTGGTATCCATGTGGGTAGCATATTCTTAGGGAAAGGGAGAGTCCAGGTCAGAGCTTCGGGACAGAAGCCTTCTCCATGGTACCTACTGCCCCCTCTCTTCCATATTCTCTCACATCCTCCCTTCACACACACACACACACACACACACACACACACACAGCACAGACATTCACCAGCACATCTCCTGCTTGTCAGGTTGGCAAGGACATGGACTGCTGTGTATGAGAACTGATTCTGCATATCAGATGCCGATTCTCTACCTTGGAACCAGAGATGATTCACACAAAAGCTTCACTGTTACATATTCCCTTCAATTTTCTTTTTAAAGCTAAATAATACTATGTAGTCCCCAAGGTCCTTTCTTCTTGCCTGGGTTGGGTTGCTCTCTGTACTTGAAAACATAAAACTGCATTTCTTTAAAAGTCTTTTCCAACTCAGAGCTTTGGGTAGGGGTGAAATCATCATTGGTTGACAGTATTTTGGATGGACTGTCCCATCACTAAGGTTTGACAGAGTCACCAGTTACCACATGAGCCTCAGGACACCGGGAGGACGTGTCCTCATGTGACTTCAGACTGAATGTGTTGTCAACAGAACACGTGCAGCTGTAAACCCAGTGGAAGTGCCCACTTCAGGGAGGAATCCACAGTTAAGGGCGTGGATCTCTGAGCATCTAGGGATCTTACTTTCTCTGGAATCAGAAAACAGATTAAGCGAGTCCTTTGAAGTGTGTGAATCCTAGGAAATCCTCGGAGCACATCCTGAGGAGTGATGTTTGCCACGCCGCTAGATTTCTGGTTTTGACACACACCTAACGTGGAAATTCCGCTCTGACTACTTCATTTCTTTCTCCAGTTGGCCGTCAAGGGCCTGCCTGTCACCACCTCAGCCTTAACAACATCACAGCAACTGGCAGCTTGTAAAATTAAGGGTGGAGGGTGGGGGTGGCCTTCCTGGACTGAGTGACTTGTAATGGGGGAGGGGCGGGGAGACTGTGCCCCCTGGTTCTCTAGAACTCGCTTCTGAGTAGTGCCACTTGCGACCCAGCCTTAAAAGAGGAGCTTTCACTCATGGGGACCTGACATGACGGCTGTTGTTCTTACTGCTGCTTGGAGCCTGCATCTCTAACGTCGGTTTTTAATGGTAGAAGTCACCCGAGGAAGTCTCTCTCTCTCTCTTTCCCTCTCTCTCTCCCTCTCAGTAACTCAGCACTGAGATGTAATTAAATAGAAAACCCCTGGGGATTCCACTGGGGTCCGGAGTGGCGCACCCCACAGCCAGCATGCACAGGACCCCATCTGAAATCCTGGGGAGATGCTGATTCTGGGTGTGGCCCGAGATTCTGCATTGCTAACCAGATCTCGGGTGATGCGATTTGTCCGTACTTTGTGTGGAAAGGGCCGGGAACGAGGGGCGTTCTTTTTTCCTTTTTTTTCCTCTCTGTCAAAGGCAAGCACAGCGTTTGGCCTTTTGCTTCACTTTCAGTCTATCCTTTTCTGTTTTCCCAAAAGCCGATCGAGCCTTCACTGCCTTCCCGAAGGTGCCCACTTTGAGCCACCTCGTGCTTCAGGAAACTCAAGGCCCTACACACACTCCCTCACTCACCCTTCTCTGCCCCTCACACCGGGGTAGCACCCAGAGTTCCCGACCTGCTGGGTCTGCAAGTGGTGCCTGACAGCAGGCGTTTTGCACAAGTCCTCTGGTGCTGCTGCTGGTCTGCACACCTCACTTCCAGAAGCACTGCCCCATTGGTGCTGCTATCACAGCTGACCTGCGCTGTCCCCATCTGCACGGTTCAGAGACTGTGAGCATGGGGAGAATCCAGGAAGACTCAGTGCTTAGCTCCAGGAGGATGAGTTCCACCCCCTTTCCCGGGCAGGGCTGACTGTATCACCTGTTAAGTCTCACTTTCTGTCCTACCCTGTGGCCTGTTGGCTGTTCTGGGCCCAGGTCACAGTGGAAGGACCCAGCACATGTACAGCACAGTGGCCGGTATGTGTCGGTGCCTGGGGAAGGGCAGAACCCTCCCGGTGCCAGGGCGAAGAGCAGACAAGGCACACTTCTCTCCATAATGCCCCCGCCCCCAACCTGATGCCTCCCCAGCCAGGACCGGCCACAGGCTCCACGGAGACCTGGGCTCTGCTCACTGCCGCATCCCAGCTTCTCTTGTTCACGTGTGCGTGCTTCTCGCTGCCGTCAGCATCCTTCTATCGTCACCTTTCTTTTTGGCTGGTCTCTTCTTGATTTATTTATTTTTATTTTCTACTACATGTTTAAATTCTGAAAAGTGCACAGAATACAAACACATAGTTTCACAAATCGTTAAGTGAACATGTGTTTCGATGCTGTTACCAGTTTCTCCCATGTCCTCCCAGAGACACACAGGCACTTACATGTGCAAAGAAGACTTACAGATGGGCTCTTGTATACCCATAGATACACATACACATGAGCACACATGTGTAAGTGGATGTCACATATGCGTTCCTGCCATGCATTAATTCTGTGTGTCACATGGCTGAACGCCCAGTACAGTGGACCCCTCGGCCTTTGTCATTCTGTATAACGTGGGAATCTTCCCTATCGCTACACATGAAGCTGCCTCCTTTTTTGCATATTGCATAGACGTTCATTTAGCTGCTCATGGTCATGTTTAGGTTGTTTCTGATGCACAGGGCTGTGCTGAGTCGCCGGTCCTGAGCTCTGCCTCTTCCCCTGGGCGTGAGTATATGCCCTTGGGGGGTAAACCTCTGGACGCGGGCCTGCTCGGTCAGTGTGGGTGGGGTTAGCGTTCCACAGACCTGTTCGAAGGCTCTCGCAGAGGCCGCCTACGAGGCCCTGTTTCTCCACTGTCTTCAGCTCAGCATGTCGTCCACTTCTTCACTCTTAGCTGATGTTCCCCCGCTATGGGATGAAAGCCGGGCCCCACTGAAGAAACTGCGCTTCTTTTTTTTGATGCACTTGAGTATCTTTTCACACATTTGAGAGCCATTTGAATGTCCCTGGGTATGAACTGTCTAGTCACGTCCTTTACCCTTTTTCCTGTTTGTTTGTTTCTTTCTTTCTTTTTGACTCTAAACTTTTGACCTTTTCGCTGTTCTGATTTGCTAAAGTCTGTACCAATTAATGCAGCTTGCTGGTTTGTCGGCATGTCTGTGAGCAAAATTCAGAAGCAGCCATGGCGGGCTCGGGGCCGGGCCAAGCTTACTTCCTCTTCCCACATGGCGATGAGTGAAGTGCTTGCTGCCCGTGGGAACCCTCTGAGTGCTGTGTAGCAATATTTACATGTTTTGAACACACATTGACCCCATATGGGAAAGATCTTAAGCCAAAGCTGGCCGATGTTAAATGTTCGGGACTCTTGTTTACCAAACAAGAGGGTGATGAGCTCAGATGTTACGAATGTGGTCGGCTGAAGGGCGAAAGGAGGAAAAGAGGGTGTGTGGCTGCAAGAGGCTTCCACGGAGTCGAGAATTGTTTTCTTAAACCAGGAGACAACGTCTTTCAATAACTGGGGCAAAAACTACCCCTAAGGAGAATCGGGGTAGAAAGAGTTAGTATAGGGTGGGGAGAGTGTTATAAGAAACACCCGTTGGGCGAGAGATTACCCCCCAGCAGCAGAGAAGCCGGGGACGTTCTGAAGCGCCCTGGAATTTAGACATGGTGACTGAATGGTGGATGTGACGTGAAATATGTGAAATGAACTTGTACGGGAGGTGGGTACTGGGGATCAGGATAAAGCACCGCAGCGCACGGATGTCTGATTGGGGCTCTCAACTGCTGAACTCATCAGTGATGCCGTTTTTCTTTGATTTATTCATGCACTAAATATTGAATGGGTTATAAATGCTACACATGAGTTCCCCTAGGACTGCCGTTACCAAGTACCATAAACTGGGTTGTTAAAGACAAGTAAATGAGTTTGACAAAATAATTTAGCTGTGACCTTCCGGAGCTGTGGGATGTTTGCCGGGGCCCCAATTAAACAAGGACTGCTCTTTTAGAATTCTGCTGTTCTGTGGGCAAGTGACAATGTGCCCACTGGTGTTGCTGGAACTGCTGTAACAAAGCACCACACACCGGGGGACTTAAACAGCTGAAAGTTCCTGTGTCTTGTTCTGGAGGCTAGAAGTCCAAGTTCAAGGGACTGACGATGTTCATTCCTTCCAAGGGCTGTGAGGGATGGATCTGTTCCAAGCCTCTCTCCTTGGTTTGTAGTAGGTCTTTCCCCTGTGAGTTCATACCATCGTCCCTCTCCGTGTATCTCTCTCCAGATTTATTTCTTTATAAGGATATTAGTCACTGTGGTCAAGTTCCATCCTAATGACCTCATCCTAAATCGTTTCCATCTGCTGTGACCTTATTTCCAAATTAGGTCATATTGTGAGGCAGGGGTGGGGGTTAGGATTTTAGCGTGAATCCGGGAAGGACACAGTTCCTCTCAAAACATCATGCTAATTATCTACTTAACGGACTTTTTCTTCTTTCTTTTTTAAGAGTGTACATGGCAAGTCAAAGCAAATGATCGAAGCTTCCATGAACAGCCTCATTTTGTGAACACCAAGTTCTTTTGTATTAAGGAGAGTAAATATGCGGTAAGTTGAGTTTAACTGCCCGTGTTATCAGTGCCAAAAGCCAGCTTTGCCCAATGGCCAGCGTGCTTACTAGCTGCTTGTGACACCTGCGTCCAGATAGCCCCTGGCCTGGGGCCACGGACAATCACTGTGAGTTGTTTGGAATGTTGCCACTGTCAGTGTGACTGAGCCCCGAGGCTGGAAAGGGGTGGCTCCAATGAAAACGAAATAAATTATGCAGATTGCAAATTGCCCTATGTTTTTGCAAAACTCTCATTAAAATGTGAAAGAATATACCAAAATATCACAAACACCTTGTGTTTGAAAGTAAGAAAAAACTGGAAGGAATCTTTCCCTTTTTTAATCCTCACCTGAGGATATGTTTATTGATGTAAGAAAGAGAGAAGAAACGTTGATCAAAACATGGAAACATCAATGGGTTGCTTCCCATATGCGGCCCAACTGGGGATCGAACCTGCAAACTTTTGGTGTATGGGACGACACTCCAACCAAATGAGCCACCCGGCCAAGACTGAGAGGAATCTTAAGAACTTATCCACCCCGCCACTGCCTGAGATCAGTTCAGAGGTTTCAAAGATTATTTTCAATGATCAAAAACGCTGATTACCTGTGTAATATGATAAAGAACAGCCGTTAAGTGTGGGCTCTAATAGTATGTGTATTAGTTTGGTAGGACTGCTGTACCAAAGTGCCATAGACTGAGTGGTTACAAACAACAAAAATGTGTTGTCTTACTACGATGAGTTTGTAAGGGGCCAGAGTCTGAAAGGAAGGCATTGGCTCCTTCTGGTGGATGGGAGGAAGAGTCGGCTCCCAGCACCTGCCGGGCCCCTGGTGCTGACGGACAGTCCTCGCCGTTCCTTGGCTTGTAGGAGCATTGCTGTCACCTCCTCCTCAGTCTTCCCCTGGACTTCTCTCTGTGTCCAGTTTCCCCTGTTCTGAAGGACAGCGGTCACTGCATCAGGGCCCACCTTAATCCAGGCTGACCTCATTGTAACTTGATTACGCAGGCAGAGACCCCATTTCCAAAGAAGACAGCACCCCCAGCTGTCGGGGGTGGGACTTGAGCACATCTTGGGGCACACAGTTCAGTCCACAGCAATGTCTTGTACTCCTTCTTACATGGCAGCCTCCACCCTCCCTTAAGTGAAAGCGCCCCTTTCCTTTCCTGCTTTGCCGCTCATGTCTACATCTCCCTGTGTCCCGTTCACTAAGAGGCTGTGAGCTGTAAGTGGTCAAGGACGTGGCAGGGCCCATCTGGTCACAGTTGGACTTGTCATACTTCTGGGTGGTATGTCTGCTTCTTGCTCCTGATTCTGACTCAAGACTCCAAGGTGTCTTAAGTCGTTGTGAGGCCTGGTTAGAATTAAAAGCTTAAAAGAAATCTCAATGTCTTTCCCAGAGACAAATGTCACTGTTGGCCACAGGACTCAGTGCTTTTTGCAGATGGGTATACACTGTGATACATGTGTGGCATGATTTAGAATGGCTTTTTCCATTTTTTTCCAACAGAGCAATGCAATCAAAACCTACAAGTACAACGCGTTTACCTTCCTACCGATGAATTTGTTTGAGCAGTTTAAGAGAGCAGCCAACTTCTATTTCCTGGTCCTTCTTATCTTACAGGTAATGCCCTTCGAGATCTTAAAGTCTGATTTGAATTATGGTGACTCAATAACATTTAAGTGGTGGACGCATATAACGCGACTAATCTGGCAAGTTTTTATATTAACGTCAGTGTCCTGCACGTACGTAAGGGAATGTGCTTCATACACGGAATTGGCTGGCTTGGTGTTTAAAAGTTCCATTTTATGCTGATATGACTGTTAGAATTGGCTTCCCTGACATTAATCAAGTTAAACTCTTCACGTTGTAAAATTATCTGTACCTTAACATTCAATGTGTTGTTTATGCATGTCCTTTATTTTTTTATTTAAATGCCTACTTTCCTTAAGAATATTATTGATTTTCATTAACATTTTGGTCATAAGTCTCAGTAAACTATTTTTGTGAAGTGGTTTTATGTTGGAAAAGGCCCATTTTTTCTGAGTTTTATTTTTTAATTGTGGCAAAAAAAATTCATTTATGTGGACAGCGTTGATTTTATCTGCTTAGGAACTGTTACTGTCACCAAGGGGACTCTGCCACTGGTAGTGCCGCCCTTTCGCAACATTTGTGCAGGTCACAAAGGACACATGTCCTCTTGGTTTAATCACCTTCTTTATTTGGGAAATAGTCTCACCTGCTGGGATTCACCCAGTAAGGTTTTGTGAAAATGGCAGCATGTGTGTGTGTGGGTAGAGATGAAGGAGGGGGGGGGAGAGAGAGAGAGGAAGCAATAGATACTCCCCAGGTCTAGTAGAATGTGAGACCTGCTGCCTTGACCACACAGGATGGTCGTGTTATCAAGAGGGACCTTTGAGATAGGCTTGTAGAGATAAACACTACAGATTATAAAGTGCTGCAGTATGAGGAATGGGCTACTTTGCTCTTCCTTCCTTCCAGGAGGGTAAAGGGGAGTTACACATATAGACGAGAATGTGGGAAATGATCTATTTATTTTCCAAGTGCTCCAATTTCTTTAGAGAACAGCAGTGCGACTTAGGGTCCTAGGAGTAGGCTTAGACAGCCCTTTACTTGCGTTGTCACTTCACTTAATTCTTGTGCTCTGACTGAGGGACTATTATACCCTCTGTTTTGCACAGAAGACCTGAGGCCTGGCAAGACAAAGCAGCATGCTCAACATCCCATATCCCATAGTAGTAGACAGACCTGGGCGGGACTTGGGTCCAAGAGCTTGACTCTAACCAGTACATATAAGACTCAATGATCAACAAGATGGTTACAAAAGATCTTTACTAAATTTGTTTCCAAATCTTTTGTTCCAATTGGTATTCTGTCTTGGCGGAGGCGGAGCTTTCTGCAAAGCCAGACTCTGTCTTGCCTGGACCAATAGCAATGACAGTGAGGGAAGGGCTTTCTCTTAGTGTACTTAGTGCACTGGATGGGGCAAAGATCCCCCATCCAGCCTCTAGCTTTCAGAGCCACCCAACACCCACTGCCCTCTTTGCCTGCATCAGAGAGCCTGGGCTGAGCACCCAGCAGTGTGGAGCCTGCCAGATGCATTGCCTGAAAGTGCAAGGACTCCTTTCACCCACACTCCATTCTACCCTCCCCTGGTTAATTATGATTATTGCGTAGGTGCACACATGCACACACGTCGGAGCACTCCCCTTACAGAGCCTCCTCGGTTTCCATTTAGGGTCACGAGGAGACAATTCCAGGAGCCACTGTCCTCTGGGCTCTGTTCCAGGAGGCCAGAAGCCAGAGAAATCAGATTGTAGGAAGAAAATTAGCTGGATGCTTAGATGCCTTTTCTGCACATTCTGCAGGATGCAGACTTGGATGATGAAGGAGATTAGATGTTGAATTAGCAAGCCTAGAATCAGCAGTTACCTGTGGGTCGGCTGTGCCTTCACGGGCACACATAAATGTCTTTTTCTTCCTTCCAGGCAATCCCTCAAATCACGACCCTGGCGTGGTACACTACTCTGGTGCCATTGCTCATGGTGCTGGGCATCACAGCCATCAAGGACCTGGTGGACGACGTGGTAAGAAGGATCTCCCATGCAGCTTTCTCCTCGTGGCTGCGAGCTGATTTTTAGTTTGAAATTAATGCTTTTACATTTCGAGGTTATTAAAATAAACTTCCCCCTTCTCTCTTCCAAAGGCTCGCCATAAAATGGATAAGGAAGTCAACAATAGGACGTGTGAAGTCATTAAGGATGGCAGGTACGGTCTGTCATCGGTAACCAAGTTACAAGGCTGCGGTGTGTCAGGATGTCTGGAAACATACTTGGAGATAATCATCAGGAGTCTCTCAGTGCATTCACCCTTTCACATAAGGGCTCTCTTCACTTCCTAAGACTTGGTTTCCCTTTGTGACCTGGAGGCTCTACCAGTTTGCGTTATGGGAGGCGGCCGACGGGGCTGCGTCACCAGCCCTCCTGGGTTCACACAGCTTCAGCCTGGAATGCACTGTGCCCAGAGCCGCTGCCGCTGCTCCCAGACTTCTGCTGTTCAGGGCTTTGACCAGCTCTCCAGGAGGAGGGATGGTTTCTTCACTGCCCTTTTTCAGAGCACTTTGTTTTCATCTTTCTCATTATGATCTGAATTTTTATTTGAATTGCTTGTGTGGGTGTCTCATCTTTTGTCTCCAACTCTAACTTTCTCAAGGAGACTGTCCTGAGTATTTGTTTTGTGTCCACCAATGCCTCTGACACACAGAGAGCACTCAAGAAGTGTTTAAATTAACACAGTCAACGGGGACCCAAGTGCCAGCTCACCGGCCAGTAATGAGTTGTTTCTTGAGCAAGCGCCTTGTGGCAGAACTCCAAAGTCAGGCGCTAAAAATAGTGACTTGGGCTCAACCCAAAGACTGTGTGTGTCAGCACTGAGGAAAATAACCTGTTTATAGCCCTGCTCCTACTTTGTCCAATGTGAATATAGATTTTGTCAATCTATAAATATGTGCAGGTGGCCTTTTTTCCCTTCACAAATAAGAGGATTCTATTCCAGAGGTTGCCTTTGAAGTCACTTAGAATCATTGTTCTGAAGGGTGGCTAACCAGCCTTCAACCTAACTCCTTTAACTGGTAGAGGAGCTCTGAGTCACCTTGAATTTGGGAGTTGGGGTCGCATATTAAGCAGGTCTGTGGCCCTAGCAGCTCCTGGAGTGGAGTGCAGCCTGTATGGGGATAGAGCATTGCTGGAACAGGACTGCAATGACCTCCTAAGGGGACCCAGACATAACCATGGAAGAATCCAATGGAATCGCCTCTGTCACCAGCAAAAAGCTGTGAGAAGGAGGTGTTCCCTTGTTTAGTTACCATTTTAGACACACACACACATTGCTAATTTACAGTTTTAGAGATATTGACATGTAATCTAACAACACCTTCCTTTATTGAGAAATAAGCCAATTCAAAAAAATCCTGGGATTAAGAATTGTACATTAAAGTCTTATAAAATTGGGGAAACCAGCATATAAGCATATATCTAAAATATATTTTAAATGCCTAGATTTTTTTATTCATAAATTCATGGAGGACAAATGGGGTAATTGAATTCTTGCCTCCAAAAAATTAAGTTTACTAATTGTGGTAGGTTGGTAATATCTGTTGGGGATACCTTTTATATGTATGGAAACTTTAAAAAATATATTTTATTGATTTATTTTTAGAGAGAGGAGAAGGAAGAGAAGAGGAGAAAGAGAGGGAGAGAAGCATTCATGTGTGTGAGATACGTAGATTGGTTGCCTCTCACACATCGTAGCTGGGGACCTGGCCCACAGCCCAGGCATGAACCCTGACTGTGAATCGAACCGGCGACCTTCTGGTTCATAGGCCAATAATGCTCAATCTACTGAGCCACTCTAGCCACAGCTGCAAACCTTTAAAACAGACTATATTTTGAAACTTTTTTTAAATGCAGATTTGTTAGAAATGTAAGTGGGTATTGCCTATGGAATTCAGTGCTGAAAATAGTCATCTTTTTTATTTTCTATTTCATCGATATCCTTATTAGACTTATTATAAAAGTGACACCTACTCATTAAAGAGATAAACTGTGAAGTTCCTTGAGGATTCTGGGTGGCCCACTGGGGAGCGGTAACGTGCTCCTGTCCTGGGCCCACCACCCAGGCCCTGCCACGGGGGAGGTGATGGGTCACGGAGATGAAAGAGGACAGGAGAGGGGCAGACACAGGACTTGAGCAAAAGCGAAAGGGGGTGTCATGTGTCTCCTTGCCACACATTTAAGTAGCTCCCTTAACCCTTCATTACATGACCTAGGATAGAAAGATGACCTCAAAGTCCTCACCATCATCATCTCTTCCTTTAGAGGAAGTGTGACCCCCTTAAGGTGGCTTCCGTGTTAAATGGCTGAACTTTTAGCAAAACTTTTCCCTGTGATTTACATATTTTCCCAGAATCTTTGGCTTCCTGAAAAAGTAATCCCAAATCTCTTGCCAGTAACTTTAAAAAAAAAAACAATAATCTATCTTCATTTTTCATGTTTAGGTTCAAAGTTACCAAGTGGAAGGACATTCAAGTGGGAGATGTCATTCGTCTGAAGAAAAACGATTTCATTCCGGTAAGTGGACCAGCCCTGCCTCTCTCCCACTTTGTCCCCCCAGCGGACCTGGCACTCAGTTTCGCCCTGGTCTCTGCGTCACGGGCACGTTTTGTTCCCGACAGGCTGACATACTGCTGCTGTCCAGCTCAGAACCAAACAGCCTCTGCTACGTCGAAACAGCCGAACTGGACGGGTAAGTGAGCACAGGCGGGCCTGCGGTAAAGCTCCTTTCAAGGCACAGTCACGGCTTGGAAAGCTGTGCCCTCTGGACAGGAAGCCCTGAGAGCCGGCCTGGCCTCTACCACGCGCTCTCCGTCCGGCAGTGGCCCTCGCTGGCCAATCTGCAAAGTGGTGCTTGCAGACCTGCCTCCGAGCCCCACTTCAGAGGAGGTGAAAGGGTGCAGGGCAGATAGCAGGCCCAGCCCTTTGTGAACTGCCGAGCAACTTCTAGATATGTACGAGTGACTCTTAATGTAATCTACTTCAGAAAAAAAGAAAAACAGATTGTCAATGTCCTGCCAATAGACAGTTTTGAATTCTCCCTGCTCTGGTTTTGATGATTTATAGGCTACCCCTTGAAAGGGAGTCCAGTGCTGTTTCCGACCAGTTTTTGATTCGTTTATTGAGTGCTTACTAGGTCGCTAGGTTAGCTTTATGTTTTAGCTCATGTAATCTCCTCAACAACCCCATGGCAAGTAGTAAGATCCCCTTAACATTCCCCCCGAGGAAACTGAGGCACAGGAGGTGAAGTGGCCTGTCGCAGGCCACACAGTAAGTGGCAGAGTCGGGACGCCTCTCCCACGCTGGCTTTCCAGGTGAGAGCCTGTGATCCCTCTCTGGTGTAAACCCCTTCCCTTCCACCCTGGGTGTGCCCGAGCTTCTTTATGGAAAGCTGAGATCGCCCGAGTGAAACCTAGAGCTTTCTTTGTTCTTTTAGAAGTTGGTGGGGTGATTGTTCAGTCTTAGCTATGAAACAGCTATTATTCCCATGAGCGAGAATACCGAGCAGGTGGGACACCCCGAGACCTGGGGTTTGTGAGATAGAACTCTCTCGCAGCCACAGGGAATCCACTTCTTCACTCTGGAAAACAATAACTTGACAGTCTGGACACTTTCCATAAAAAATGCGATTTGTGTTGTAGAATCACCTTAGTATGATTAAACATTAGAAGCTATGTTTTTAAACAGCAGTTCAATTGTGTAAGGCTGGTGGTAAGATTTAAGTTAAAAGGAGAAAGGCACATATTGAGGAATGGCCCACAGTGGCAAACAGCCAAGGGGACCGACATGTCCCAGGACAGGAGTTTGTCTCTAGTTCAGGGGACAACCTCATCTAAACTTGACATTCAAAGATGAACAGAGAGTTTGCAAACAGAAAAAGAAAAGAAGGAAAAAAAGAAAAAGCTCATTATTTAGCTTTTGCTTCTAGGTATGCTTAATGTTACCTGGTACAATTTTCTTTAGGTTCCCTTTAGAACTCCAAAATTTGCCTATTTAATTCTTCTTTCCCCCCTCTCTCTCTCTTTAGAGAAACCAATTTAAAGTTCAAGATGGCGCTTGAAGCCACACACCAATATCTCCAAAGAGAAAATTCCCTGGCAACATTTGATGGTTTGTGCAAACACATCTTACTTTAAGTTTTAACTGCTTGATTCGGTTCCTATCAATTCGAGCTGAAAATCTTTCACATGGAAGTACTTATACAAATCCTCTCTTTTTTCAAAGGATTTATTGAATGTGAAGAACCCAATAACCGACTAGATAAGTTTACAGGAACGCTGTTTTGGAGAAACACGAGTTTTCCTTTGGATGCCGATAAAATTTTGTTGCGTGGCTGTGTAATTCGGAACACCGATTTCTGCCATGGATTGGTCATTTTCGCAGGTACTTTCAGAGTTTGTTGGGAAATCGATCTGGTGGCTGCTTTTAAGATTTAAAATAGAGAGGATGGCTTTTCCATTCTTTCTCCAGCGAACCCGGAGGAAGAGTAATTTTATTGGCAGGCCAGTGAATTGATTTTTCCATTGGTTGATCACATTGAATTTTCCATTTTTAGGTGCTGACACTAAAATAATGAAGAATAGTGGGAAAACCAGATTTAAAAGAACTAAAATTGATTACTTGATGAACTACATGGTTTATACGGTATTTATTTTCTTGTTCTGTAGAGCAGGGGCTAGATTATTGTCTTTTGCCCTAGTGTTATTGTATGTTTTTCTAATGCAAAGAAACCTTATCTCTGTAGGCCAGGTAGAAAAATGCATGAGTCACTCCAAGGTTGGAGGGGGGGTGGAGGTGCTTCCCTCTCTTTTTCTCAGAAATTCACCTGCTCCCTTCTAATATGAGACTCCCTTGGGAATGAAAATTCAAGTTGAAGGGTGCCCCGGCTGATGATTTTGCTGACTGGAGTGACCCTTTGGAAAACCAGGGAACTAGATAAGTTAACAGGGCTGTGCTCCTGAAGTTAAGGCAGGGTTGATTTTACTACAGTTAGCTTCCATAGGGGTGGTTTTGTTAAAAGCAAACTTTTTTTTTTTTATGTATCCTGCACAAATCCACAAATAAGGCAAGCCTAAATCTAAGTTGTGTTTTGGGTCCACAAGCCCCAGGTCTGATGTCTCACTAGAGAGAGGACTCCCAGAATTCAGCATATAGTTGTGCTCACAGCTCTGATTTATTGTGACTTATTACAGTAAGATTGGCAAAGGCTGAAGGTTCATGAGGCAAAGTCTGGAAGAAGCCAGGCACAGGCTTCCAGAGTCTTCCCACAGTTGAGAGACGCACAAGACATAGTTAATTCCCCCAGCAACGATTTGTGACAGCCATGTGAAAGGTTGTCCGCCCCAGAGACGCTCATTAGATACTCAGTGCCTGGGGACTGGTCATGTAGGCACCATCAGCCTGGAATGACCAAATTTCCAGATTCCCCAGAGGAAAGCAGGGGTCAGCGTAAGGCATACTCGAGGAGACTTAAGGGGCCATTCTCTTCAGAGCATAAGAAATAAGGAAGCAAGAAACGGTCCCAAAATCTAAGTTCCCAGATGTTAGCCAAGGGCCACGCTTGCAGCAGGCCTACTAAGGGCAGCGGTCTCGGGCCTGCTGCGTTAGGGTGGCCCCAAGTACTAAGCAGTCCCAAAGAGGATTCATAGTTTTTCAAGTATTTCATTTAATTTGACTATATAAATTTTAGGGAACATATAATACTTACAATCCTTTAATTGAATGTACATATTTAAAATCATAAAAGTAATATATTTAAGGAACAACTTTCCCCCCCTGCTCTCGCATTTCGTGAGAACTTTGTTTGAACTTCTCATACACACGGTCAGTGTCGTTGTCTTGGCTATGGTGAGAGCACTCACGGTGAGCTCATCACCTCTCCCTCTGTGCCAGTTTGTTTTGAGATACAGCACTTTTGGATCTGTGTCCAGAAGTTTAAATCTGCCCCTGGAGATTTTATTACTACCCACAAATACTGAAATGCTACTGGGACAGTTGGCTTTTTTATTTATTCCTTAAGTATATAAGGAATAATTTCCACAAGAGAATACTTACTAAGTTGCTTCTTAAATGATCTTAAACCTTTAAGCGATCATTAAACTTTCAAGAATAATGACCCAAATCAGGGTGGAATTTCCTTGCCTTTAAAAAAAAATTTCATTTCCATCCAAAATTACCTAGAGGCATCCCATTAAACACTGTTTGAAATTCTTTCCTACCTCAGGCAAGGTATCTTCTCCAAACAGTATGTTATTGTTCAAAATAAAACTAATTAAGGGAAAGCGGTAAAATATAGGGGTGTTTAAGGATTTGACTGTAAGCCACTATCTTCTTTTCTGAAATGTAATTTTGGAATAAAACTTCACCTCGTATGTGGAATGTAGGATAAATTGATCAATCGCAGAAATCCAATAGGCTTTCAAACATTCTCATGGCACTGCTTTTATCTTAAGTGTGTTGTCTTTATAGACTACTGAGTTATTATAAAACATGTGACGTATTGAGCAAGGTCAGTTAGCGTCTGTGAACTGCATGGAGCGGGAAATCCTTCAGCATACACTTAAATATTGTGTGTCTTCTAGATCTTTGTGCTTCTCAGCCTGATTTCTGCGGGTCTTGCCATCGGCCATGCTTACTGGGAGGCCCAAGTTGGCAATTATTCTTGGTACCTCTATGATGGAGAAGACTCTTCCCCCTCCTACCGTGGATTCCTCAACTTCTGGGGCTACATCATCGTTCTGAACACCATGGTGCCCATCTCTCTCTATGTCAGGTAAGGCTGTCTACTTTCACTTTAGGGAGAAAACGCAGTGTGTTTTCACAACTTCGTGCCTTCCTTTCTAGCAATAATTGTTTCAAAGGTCGTAAGGAACAAGTACGACAATAACTTTCATTTCAGAATTGGAGGTAATAGAAGGAAAGGAAGTTAACAGTTGGGTGCCTGCTCTGTGCCAAGCCCAGCACTTTGTACCTCAGCCTGTGTACAGATAAGTCTATAGGAGTTCAGAGGTCAAGTGCTGCTCCCACAGGAGTCACTCGCTTGTTAAGACCCCCTCTCTGTGGGCTCCCAAACCCACGCTGAGAAAGAGCCTGGGAGAGAATGGAGATTTAGAATGTCGTGGGAAAGCTTAGCTGTTTCCTTTTCAGGAAACCTTTCCTAACCTCCAATCCGCCTCTTCCTTATTCACATTCTCCACCTGACCTCCCCCACCCACCACGGCCCTTCCTTGTAAGACTCACTGGACTTCCTGGCCCTGACCTCCCTGCCCCGCTGCAGCCTCTGCTCTGGACCATGTCTCTGTCACAGCCACAGTAAGAGTCAGGATCATGCCCCTGATGGATGGTAGCCTCCTGGCTTCATGATATTGCCTCCTTTTTTACTTTTTTTTCCTGTAATATCCAAGTTCACTGTCACTGGCCAATTGGATTTTAGACCTTGGGGAGAGGGATTTGTGCCTTGAAATGTACTCAACAGCTAGAGTATGCTTTCAGTTCCAATAAGTACCGTATTTTGCCATGTATAATGTACATTTTTTGCCCTAGATTTTGAGGGGTAAATAAGGATGCACATTATAAAGACATAGTACTAATTTGTTACCGGTACACAAAATGTCTTGTACTTTATATTTGTTCTTGTATTTTATGATTATTTGTTACATAAAATTTCTTGTACCATAATATGTTAAAAAATAAATGCTAAAATTTCTTTATAATACAAAAAACCAAATATCTATCTTTAAATGTATCTAAATATACATTAAAAATTGAATTAAAAAATTAAAAACAAGATTTTTTTTCCTTGAAAGTTTGGGCCAAAAACCTGGGTGCACATTCTACCTGGCAAAATATGGTAACAGCCCAGAGGCACACGGGGTCACATACGCACCTGCAATTAGAAGCACTTGTTTAGTTTTAATTTTATTACATGCGCATTTGTTTTCTTTTTAATTTTATTACAAGTAGCTACTGTTGTTCTTTTAACGTGAAGTGTAGGGGGGCCATCTGTTTGCAGTTACTTTAAGAAAAACTGAAATGAGTTTTACCTTTGTCTAGGGAAACCTTACACGGATTTTCTTGTCTCAAACTATAACTGTATTTTATAAATTAAACTGTTTGTGTAGTTTTTCAGTTTAAAAGATGCATGCCACATGACTCCTGAGATTTCTGTATTTCTCCCGGAAATAAAGGTCCTTCCGAAGCATAAGTCAGATCAGGTCACCCCAGATAGTGTCTCTGCATTGCTTCCAACCCTGCAGTAGCTTTTTGTCACACTCAGGATACTCGTTCTTGAGGCCACACCATTACCCACAAGGCCCAGCGGATTCGGATTCGACGTCCTGGCCTCCTCCACCTCCAGCAGACCTCCCGCCCCTCCCCGGACTCCTGCTGGTCTAGCCTCTTTGATACTCTCAGGGGTCCCAGGGCCTTCAGGCCTGTTCCTATCTCTGCCTGGAACATCCTTCATCCACAACTGTTCTTTCCTTTCCTTCAGGTCTTTGCTCATCTCGTCATTCCCTCATCACCCTGGCCTTTCTGCACATTCTGTCTTAATGTCACTTCCACTTCCTGTTGGTCTCCATCTCCCCTTACCCTGCTTTGATTTTCTGCAGAGAAATTTTACCACGTAATATATGTTTTCTCATTTATTTATTTATTTATCTGATTCCATTAGAAGGTAACCTCCTCCTTGATAGTAGGGATTTTGTCCGTTTTATTTACTGATGTGTCCCTTGTACCTAGGATGGTGTCTGGCTCATAGCGGGCACTCAGGAAACATATGGGAGGAGGGAAGGAGAGACTTACTTTCCATCTGTGTAACTTGTTAGAAGACATCCTCTGCCCCTTAACAATTGCTGGATACGTAAACAGTTTCCTTATAACTGAGACATTCCTTATTACAGTTTTAGAATTGAGACAGTCCTCTTAGAATTATCTTATTTTGGACACTCTATAACCCTATAAGAATTTAGGGGAAAACTATGCTTTTTTCACAGTGTGGAATCACAATTTAGGTGTTATTTGCCAAAAGCCCTTTCCTCTGCTTGAGAATACACAGGGGTGTGCACCCTACTGGACTCACCCTACAATTGGGGCAAAGGTGAACATGGCCATTCCCGTTGTGCCCAAGGGCAGCAGGGGATGAGAGAAAAGAGAGTGAGAATGGCCACATTGTGTGGTGCCCTCTGCTTGCCACCATGTCACCCATCCCACTGGGCTGTGTTTGACCATGGGGCACTGTGGCCATGGCTGGATGTGCTCAGAGTGAGTGGAAATGAGAAGAGCGCTTTGATCCTAAACTTGGAGAAAAGGTGTGTTTGGTCAGGAGAACTCAGAGGGTGGGCACATGGGCCAGTGGCTGCCTTTTGTCATTGTAGATAAGCAGCTCCCTCCTGCAGGTACAAGTGACAGCAAAATCCACTACGTACCACTCGTATCTGAGAACTTTACTGAAGGTAATCATTTGTCTTCCTAGTGTGGAGGTGATCCGTCTTGGACAGAGCTACTTCATCAACTGGGACCTGCAGATGTACTACCCGGAGAAGGACACACCCGCTAAGGCGAGGACCACCACGCTGAATGAGCAGCTGGGGCAGATCCACTACATTTTCTCTGATAAGACAGGGACGCTCACACAAAATGTCATGACCTTTAAAAAGTGCTGCATCAATGGGCAAATCTACGGTGAGTGGAAACCATTACCAAGCCCCTGGGCATGTGTGCCCAGAGCCTGCCTTCCCAGAATCGCAGGTGCAGAGCTCATGGGTCATCCCGGATGAGTTCTGAAGCTCTATCACTGGTGGCACTGGGCATACGTGATGGGAGAGGTCAGCAGCAGGAAGTAGGCACACAGTCCTCAAAAAATTACACTCAGTACTACCATGTGATCCAGCAGCTCCACTTCTGATATATACTCAAAAGAACTGAAAGCAGGAATTGATTCAGAGAGGTATTTGCACACTGATGTTCCTACAAGTGTTATTCACAATAGCTCAAGTGTGGAATTAACCCAAGTGTCAGTCAGTGGATGAAAAGATAAAACAGTGGGCTCCGTATACACAATGGAATATTATTTAGTTCTAAAAAGGAAGGAAATGGTGACATGTGCTACCACATGGATGAACCTTGGGGACATTATGCTAAGTGAAATAAGCCAAACACAAAAGAGCAAATACTGTATGATCCCCCTTATATGAGGTGTCTAGAGTAGTCAAACTGCTAGAGACACAGAGGGGAGACAATGGTGGTTGCCAAAGCTGGGAGGTGGGTGGGATGGGAGTGATTTAATGGGTGTCAGTTTTACCAGATAAGGAGCTATGAAGTGCATGGTGGTGGTGGTCCACAACAGTGTGATTACCAATTCATTGATAATCACTGTGGGGTCAATGTGTTAATGCCATTGAACTGTGCACTCAATGATGGTCAGTATAGTACATTTTATATTATGTATGTTTTGCCACAATTATTTTTTTATTTTTATTCTAATATTTTGAAACATGCTGCATATTTATAAAAATATCAAGGCTTAGACTTCCGCCAAGATGGAGGCATAGGTGGAAGCACTGTACCTCCTCGCACAACCAAGTTTAAAGATAATAAAGTTTTAGTAACAAAAAACACAGCCAAAACACAGAAAATTGAACTATATGGAAGTCCAACAACAACGAACCGTTCAGCCAGACTGGTAAGAGGATCGAAGCCTGAAGTGGAGCCTGGTTGGGCAGGAAAGACCCCCCAACACAGGCAGCTGTGGTCAGATCCAAGGTGTGGGGTAGCAACGGGCAGACCCAGTGAGGGCACTAAGCAGCAGGCTGACCGCGGTCACACATTTGCATGCAGATAAACCAGCAAAGGAGCGAGCAGTGAGACAGACTGCAGACTGAGCAGGCCCCAGTGGTGGGAAGTAGCAGAGGGGACTGCTATTGCTCCCTCTCTGACCCCGCCCCCACATACAACGTCACAACCCAGAGACCTGGGTGGTCCCGCCCTGGTGAACATCTAAGGCTCCCCTCCTCATACATAACAGGTGCAAACAGACCAAAACATGGCTCAAGAAGAACTCAAAGCCCCAGAGCCAATAACTCTAAGTGACCAAGAAATAGCCAAACTTTCAGATGCACAGTTCAAAACACTTGTGATCAGGATGCTCACACAACTGGTTGATTTTAGTCACAAATTAGAGGAACAAATGAAGGCTAAACTAATTAAAATGAAGGGAAATGCACAGGAAACCAATAGTGATGGAAAGGAAACTGGGACTCAAATCAAGGGAGTGGACCAGAAGGAAGAAAAAAAATGACCAAACAGAAAAATATGAAGAAACAAGAATTAAAAAAAAAAAAAGTGAGGAGAGGCTTAGGAACCTCCAGGACATCTTTAAATGTTCCAACATCAGAATTATAGGGGTGCAAGAAGGGGAAGGGAAAGAGCAAGTGGAAAACTTATTTGAACAAATAATAAAGGAAAACTTCCCCAATCTGGCAAAGAAAATAAACTTCCAGGAAATCCAGGAAGCTCAGAGAGTCCCAAAGAAGTTGGACCCAAGAAGGAACACACCAAGGCACATCATCATTACATTAGCCAAGATTAAAATGAAGGAGAGAATCCTAGAAGCAGCAAGAGCTAAGGGGACAGTCACCTACAAAGGAGTTCCCATCAGACTTTCAGCAGATTTCTCAAAAGAGACCTTACAGGGAAAAAGGGGCTGGAAAGAAGTATTCCAAGTCATGAAATCCAAAGACCTACAACCAAGATTGCTCTATGCAGCAAAGTTTTCATTTAGAATAGAAGGACAGATAAAATGCTTCTCAGAAAAGATCAAATTCCAGGAGTTCATCATCACCAAGCCCTTATTATATAAAATGTTAAAGGGACTTATCTAAGAAAAAGAAGATAAAAAATATATGAACAGTGAAAGGACAGCAAACTCACAGTTATTAACAACCACACCTAAAACAAAAGCAAACTAAGAGGACAGCTAGATCAGGAGCAGAACCATAGACATGAAGATCACATGGAGGGTTAGCAACAGGGGAGTGGGAGGAGGAGAAGGGGGGAGAAGGTACAGAAAATAAGTAGCATAGACAGTAGATAGAAAATAGATGGGGGGCAAGAATAGTAGGGGAAATATAGAATCTAAAGAACTTGAGACACGTGGTCATAAACTAAAGGGGGGGAATGGTGGGGGAGGGGTGTGCAGGATGGAGGTGAATGAAGGGGGAAATAGAACAACTGTAATGGCATAATCAATAAAATATATTTTAAAAAAAGAAAAAAAAAAGAATAAAGTTTCTCCTGTGCTTTACCGAAAAAAAAAAATATATCAAGGCTTATACTGTTTCTGGGTAGAGGGCTCTAATTTTTATTTAATACAACTCTTTTGAAAAAGGTATAAATCAGAATACCATATTCATTCCACTTGTAGAAAACTTTATGCTGTGAATATGTTTTCACATAGCAAACATCCATGAGAAAGGTGGGACTCCGGAGGGCTAAGGACGTGGTTCTCATGTGCGTGGTGACAGTGCCCGCTGAGCTGGGGGAGGTTAAGAGCTTCAAAGGACACAAACTGGCCCAGAGGACACTGTGCTGTAGAGGGAACTTCTAGACCAGGAGTCATCGAACTTTTTCTATAAAGAGCCAGATAGGAAATATGGGCAGACTATACCAAATATTCTTCTTTGTTCTATTTTGTTTGTTTGTTTGTTACCACTCTTAAAAAATATAAATAAAAAATATCCTTGACTCAGGGGCTTTCCAGAAACAGGCTGTGAGACCCGTAGAACCCCCACCAACACAGACCCAAAGCAGGTGAGGCAGGACATCTGGATGCAGGTGGAGGCTCAGTTTGTTTCGTCCTGTTTGTTTTTCAGGAGACCATCGGGATGCTTCTCAACACAATCATAGCAAAATAGAGGTGAGTCGTCTAACTTAAGGAATTGCTGGCAGTGTGTATTAGTCTCCTAGGGCTGCTGTAACAAATCCCCACAAAATAAATGGGCAGCTTAAAACAGCAGCAATGTGTTCTTACACAGCTCTGGAGGCCAGAAGTCCGATGTCAGGTGTCAGCAGGCCACGTTCCCTCCGCAGGCTCTAAGGGGCAGATCGTTCCTGCCTCTTCCATCTCCTGGTGGTGGCTGTCAATCCTTGGTGTTCCTTGGCTTGCAGATGTGACATTCAGATGTCTGCCTGTCATCACCTGGTGCTCTCCCTGTGTGTGTCCAAATTTCCGTCTTTAGAAAGATAGCAGTTGTTGGGCTAGGGCCCACCATAACCCCAAATAACCTCATTTTAACTTGATTACATCCATAAAGACCTTATTTCCAATTAAGGTCATTCCCACATTGCAGGGCTTAGGACTTCACCGTATCTTTTGTGGAGACATAGTTCCAACCCACAACAAGGTATCTAAAAAGCAGATATGAGCCTCTTGACCTTAAGAATGTGTTAAAATCCTACAGTGATTTTGCACAAAACTTAGCTTCAAAGATAAGTTCATCTCATTTGTTAAGCCCAGATTCTTTTTTAAACACATTTTCCTTTTCACTTCTTCTTTTAGCAAGTTGATTTTAGCTGGAATGTACATGCCGATGGGAAATTTGTATTTTATGACCATTACCTCATCGAGCAAATCCAGTCGGGGAAGGATCCAGAAGTACGGCAGTTCTTCTTCCTGCTTGCGATCTGCCACACTGTCATGGTGGACAAAATTGATGGTGAGTGTTTCTCTTGCTCCTTGGACATTAAAGACCAAATTTCTTCGTTTATAAGTAACTCGTGCTTTGGGGACTCAAATGCATATAAAGTACAGTAACATGCGTGACAGGTGTGCCTCACTTATGCCCAAGCGATGAGTACCTGTGGGCACCTACTACCAGAATGGTAGTTTGAAGAACAAAGCATGGAGCAAAGTCCTGACCTCTGACCATCTGCCTCCCCTTTACAGCTCCAGATGTATTTATCACTTTTTAAGTGAAATCTGATCGCTGAAAGAAATGGTTGACTCTTCATTTATGACGGAAGAGTCAAAATCCTCCCAACTGTATTATTACTTATAGGGTGTATTGAGAATGAAGTGCCAAATCTGGGCCAGAAGTGGACTTTAACCTTGGATGGTCTTCTCCACAGATAATTTCAAAGATGAACTTCCTTTTCAAGATTTAGATATGTTTAGGGTTTGAAATATAATAGCAGCTAGAGTCAAGGCCTCCTTAAGGTGCCAGTTTCTCAATGGGAGGAACACAATTAATGTGCGTTTGTATGACAACAAGGAAATCTGACTTGTAGGCCCCTTTGCAGAATTCTTCTTTTCTGCTTTTTTTACTTTTATTTTCTGTAGTATTTTACTTTTCTGCGATGATTATATATTACTATTGTAGTAGCAAAAGAATAAAAGTATCCTGTGTTCCCCCAAAATATTTTGTTTAATCCAAGGCCAATTTTTGCCTTTATGCCGTGAATTGAAGAAGTGACAACTCTTTTGTCTATATTAAGAATTCAAATGCACCCTTAAAGATATTTACATACAAAATTGTTGCAAATATCATTATAAAAACAGTAAAAATGTCTCTAGGAGTCTAAGCACAATTTCTTAACTCTTGTTTATATTTACATTTTTAATGCCAACGATTAAAAAGCCTATTTTTATTTCATATTGGTAGGATCCATACCCAGAAAATAATGATTCCAAGTAAATGTCGAATGTAATACTCCATCTGTACATCTTTAATGGGAACTATTCTAAGACCAAAAATTACTGCAAAGAAATCTTAAAATTTAGGTAATTTTATTGCTGATAGTAATATTGGTATTAGAAACAATCAGGACCCAAGATTTTCACTGCCAGAAAAAAGAGATACAAATATAAAACTGTAATATCAGGCATAAATTGTAAATCCTTTGTAGAATTCTGCAATGCATCTGCAATGCAGCTGGTGCCCGCTTTGTTACAGCAAGTTTGTCCAGTGTCTATGGAAGCTAGTCATTTTCTCACATGTGGACATGTGATGGATTATGGAGAGTGACGCGAATGTTACAGAAAGAGGGGAAGGAACCCTGTTGGCGTATCTGTTAGGAAGCACAGTCTGCCTGACTGTTCTCTACTTTCATGCACACAGCGTACGAAAGCACCTTTCTGTTCTCTGATCCTGAGGCTTTCCACGTAGCCGGTATTAAAACCCCAGAGAAGGAATGTGCCTGAAAACCAAATGCAGAGAAACTCTATGTGATATCTTTCAGCAATTTTCAGAGGAACCCATTCTCCAAAGATGACTCTAATAGGGCAACAAGGCGAGCAGACAGTGGCATTGAACTTGGGGCAGCTTCATGGAAGGGTCTATTAGCAGGCAAGGTGGGGCAGGATGACAACAGGAGCAAGGGATGACAGCAAGGGATGACAACAGGTCATGAATGACAGAAGCGCAGGTCAGAGTCTGGCTAGCCAAGCACGTTTCACGCAGAGTAAGGGTCAAGTCTGATATTTTTAAGCAACTTGGTTCTCTTAGGTTTTGACGTATAGTAAAATTATTCCACTTTGTTGTTGTTGTTGTTGTTGTTGTTGTTAGTGTGTGGTAGTGTCATTTTCAGAGCTAGCCAGCCAATTTAGGCAACTGTGTGATAATCTTACACACAGTAGGTGAGGTCTCTCTATTTTCGGGAGGAGTCCTGGATCCTGCAGAAGGGGGGCCTCCCCAGTTTGGGTTCCCGTCATAACACACAGTACAGACCAGGGTCTGTGAGCACCAGCTTCCTCTGTGTTGCAGGAAGGGCATCGGAGTTCAAAGTCTCTTCCCCTCTCACATTGTGTAGCTCTTGGTCCCACTGTCTGCTCAGGCGGAGAGCTTTTCATCCAGAGGAATCCTTCCTCTTACAGTTTGTGATAAGTGAATGCTCTAGTCACAGAGAAAGAGACAAGTGGGATTTTCCCGGTGTAGGAGGTTCAAAGAGGTGAGGTTGGGATAGAATTCGGTTTCTGTGGTTGCAGGACTGAGGTCTCCATTTCCTTGCTGGCTGTCAACTGGGGCTGCTCTCTGCTCCTAGATGCCTCCTTCTCCCCATCCTCAGAGCCAGCAGGGGAGAATCTCCCTTCCTTGCAACCTCTCGATACTTTGAATCTCTCTCCCACTAAGAAGAGCCCTGTCACTTTTAATGGCTGACCTCATTAGGGTGGGAACACCCAGATAATCTTCCTATCATAAAGTCAACTGATTTGATCTTAATTACACCTGCAAAATCCCTTCCTGGCAGTACTTAGATTAGTGCTTGCTTGAATAACTGGAAGAAGTTGTGTGTACAGCAGGGGTGTGGGAACCTGGGGCCACCTTAGACTCCTGCCTCCCTCAGATGCCCCGTGAGAGCAGAGTGTGACAGAATTGGAGGCCTCTCCTCTCCTTGCAGGTCTTTAAGTCTAAGTTGGGATGCACTGTGACTAGAGAGCTGTGTTTTAGGTTGGCTGGAGAGAGACAGAGGATGTTGATGCCGAAGTTGAGGACCTGGATTAGGGTAGGGTCTTTGGGGAGGATGAGAAAGCCCTGAATGTGGGGGGCATTTGGTGAGTGATTTGAAGAGACTGAGATGATGGAGGGGAAAGAGACGTCTGAAAGTAACCGGTTTCCAGCCTGGGAACTGGAAGGCTGGTGGGGGGCTCTTATCAACCGGAGCAAACTATGAAGTTGGTATAAAGAGAAGTGGTGAGAACGTCTTTTCTATTTCCACCAGTTTCCTGAGCCACAGATTTATTTCTGGTTGCCTCTGAGTGTGTAGTAAATAGTTTTTAGAAATGGTTTCAGAGGGTCAGTTTTCAGTCCAGGTTTCTTCCTGCAAACATGAAGTTGGATTTGGACCAGGTCTCCGAAGTTCCTCCGATCTTAGTAATTCTGTGCGGTTCCACTCCCAGAACAAAAGGGAGGGGTTTTCTTTTCATGATATCACTCACTGTTTGCTTTCTTTTAATGACTCCACTGACAAAAATATCAGTGTTTGCTCCAGATAGGACTCCAAGGCCTGGGAACTTGACCACCTTTTGTCATTTTGTTTCTCCCCTCTGTTGGAAATAAGCTCGTCATCCGTATGATGCAACACAGGTATCTCCCTGCTAGCTGAGCTTGACGAAGGGGCGGGGGCGTTGCCAAGTTCTCTCTGCTGCTTGTTTAGCTCTGGTTAAATATTTTGCCCTCTGGCGTGTATGCATGTTTGTAGAAAAGAGCTAGATTTAGTAAGTGGCATTCGTCACTCCTGCTGTGTGACTTTCTGGGTGAACATACAGCGAGGCAGAGAACCTAAAGTATCAGCTTTAATTACTAATTGGGGCGGGATTAATACTGGCTTAATTAGAGTGAGTCCTCTGTGCAGGTATGTGAAGGAGGGAGGGAGGGAGAGGTGTTCGGCTGTACCTCCAGCCCCTCACCTCGGGGCACCCTGCCCTCCTCATGGGCTGGCGGTGGGTCCAGGGCCCACAGCCTGCTCTGCCCACGGTGGACAACTGAGTGCCTTTCTCTATAAAATTCATCTGACCACGGAAATGCTCTTTTGTCTGCCTGGAGGCAGAAGAACTACGGTAGAAAAATATGGGGGTGGAGGAGGTAGAAGAGGGTAAAGGGGGGTTAAATGGTGATGGAAGGAGACTTGACTTCGGGTGATGAACACACAATACAACATACAGATGATGTAGTAGAGAATTTCACCCCTGAAACCTATATGATTTTATTAACCAATGTCACCCCAATAAATTCATTTTTAAAAAGGCAAAAAAATAGAGACCAAAAATAGAAAACCTTGTATAGATGAGTTTCTTTTTTTTTACTAAATTCAGCATGTATAAAGACAAGCATATATAAACTCAATGAACTTTCACAGACTGAATACTCTTCTGTCCTGAGTACCCAGATTTTTAAACACAGAACATTATCAATCCCCTAGAAGTCCCTCTTGTGTTCCCTTCCAGTCATTGCCCCTCCAAGGGCACCTTCTGTCCTGAGCACGGGACAGAATGGACGGGTTCGCGCGGCCAGTCATGTGGTCTGTGTGCCTGGAATCATAGGGACTCACTGGCAGGCCTGGCTGCCTTCACCCAACAGGGGATGGAGGGGGGTTGATTTCTGTTGCTGAAGTGTGTTGTGATGATACGACAGTTTTCCATCATTTAACTTTTAAAACATAAAGACATTAAAAAGATCAGCATCGCTTCTTGGACTTTTGGCTAAGATCAAGTGTCATATCTATTCTTATCAGTTTTAAAAGATTGGCAAATTGTGGTGTTTTTTTTTTTTTAATATGAGAATATCCCTCAGGTGAGTAAGTACACACTTCAAGGGGGAAGATGAACTGGGACAGCCCTTTTGGGAAACAAATGAGTAACATACACCAGTAGGCTTGCCAGGTATAATATTCTCTAGCATAGCAGAAAATAAAGCCAGAATAACTTCTGAGCACAATGTGATTATTGAAAACAAGACATTTTGGAAGGAAAGTGCCTTTACTAAAAAAACAGTGACATGTTACTTTTCATTAGAATAATGTTTAGAATGACTATGGCAACATACTCAAATATAATGTTAAAATATTCAAGATGTAAATGCATATTCAGAGTGATAGGAACTATTACAGACATAGGCTTTTCCAAAAGGACCAGAAGGAATTGTAACAAAATGTCAGTGTGTCTTTTCTCTCTAATTTAGGTGGGATTACGGGGCTATTTTTCCTATCCTCGGCCAATGTTTAAAGGTCTAATTCATATTAGCGTTTATAATTAGAAACAAAACTTTAAAGTATAAGTGTTACTGTTGGCACACTCCTTTCCTGGGGAGTTCTAGGCCTTGTAGCGCATGCTCCCCCCACCTGCTCCTTGGTGGGGAGCGCTGGCTGGCCTCTCACTTGTCTGCTTTTTGTCCCCTCCTCCTCGGCTAGGTCAGCTCAACTACCAGGCGGCCTCTCCTGACGAGGGCGCTCTGGTGAACGCAGCCAGGAACTTTGGCTTTGCCTTCCTGGCCCGGACCCAGAACACCATCACCATCAGTGAGATGGGCACCGAGAGGACCTACAACGTTCTCGCCATCTTAGACTTCAACAGTGACCGGAAGCGGATGTCTATAATTGGTAGGTCTCCCTCAAGAGTATGTCTGTGAATCTCTCACTTAGATGCCGCCTGTCACACATTTTCTGTAGGGCAGACACCAGGATGAAGCAGCCAATGAATGAGCTGCTTGGCTCCTGGAAGATTTCCACAGACTTGCTGAAGCCAGTTTTCCCCTTCATCCTGCCGATGTCCATTGCCCAAAAGACAATTGCAACAGTGTATCAGAATCCTGCAAATGTTGACGTTGGTCAGTGATACAGGCAGCAGCTGCTGATTCTGGGGTGGCAGGTGCAATGTGCTCAGAGTGGCAGCTGGATAGCTCGCAGCATGGCCAGTGTGCACTTCCACTGCCTGAGCCCTGCCAGATGCCTCCAGGCTACACTGCACGGCAGGGAAGGGAGAAGTCAGAGGGAGAGGAGATTGGAGAAGAGCAAGGATGTGCTTATGAATCAAAATCATACGTCCAGTCCTGGCACCTTACAATAGGCCATCAGATGGAAATGCCGATTGCTTCCTAATGTTGAATCTTTTTAAGAGCACAATTTGAAATAATTTCAGATTTATAGGGAAATTGCAAGAATGATTTAAAAAACCCCTATATGCGCTTTCATATTCACCAACTGTTAGCAGTGGCCACATATTCTCTGTCATTTTCTTTATATAGCGGTTCTTGTTTTCTGAACCATCTGAAAGCAAAAAGCAGATCTAATGTCTTGCCCCTTACATACTTGTGTAAGTATTTCCTAAGAACAAGAATAGTCACTCATACATACACACAGTGATCAGAATCAGAAAATTTAATGTAGTACCATATTTCTATCTAATCTATGGGGTGTTTTCTAATTTTACCAGAAATGTTCTTCCTTCCTCACCCCATCACCCCCTCATGCCCCTCATGCCCCTTTCTCCCTTCCTTGATAACCTCCCCCCTCCTTCCTTCCTTCCTTCCTGTCTTTTTGTCCGTCTTTTGTATTTAGGATCCAACCCAAGATCACACATTACATTAGGCGATTGTTACTGTGGTTTCCTTTAATCTAGAACAGTTCCTCAGCCTTATTCTTGATCTTTCATGCAGTGACATTCTTGAAAAGCCCAGACTCCTTATTCGTAACAAGTCCCTCAGTTCGATTTCCCCGGTGCCCCCTCACGATTGCGCTGCATCCTTGTCGGCAGCATGAGTATACGGGTGATGCGACATCCTTCCCAGCATATCACATCAGAAGGCCCATAATTATCCGTGATGTCAGCTTTTGATCACTCAGTTAGGTGGTGTCCACAAGATTTCTCCATACGAGACTGGATTTTTAACCAATAAAAGATACGGGTTTGATCATCCACTGAAATCTGACTAGGCACACGTCGCTGAATGCTTTCTCCGTGCCTCGCACTGATCTGGGCTGATTCACATGCCTGGCATCCACCTTTGAGAACTGAAAACCTAGCTAATTATGAGGCACATACTACAGTTAAATTACTGCAAAGATTTTTAAAAATCCAAAAGAAATGGTCATGAGGAGTCATGTTATGGTTTGAGTATGAAAGCCAGTAAGAGTTTATAGGTAAGAGAGTCCTACTGGTTGGTGTGGACAAAGAAGCTTCTATGGAAGAAACTAACTAGCCCAGGGCATGGAGCACAGTAGGGCGTCAGTAAGCATTTGCTGAACGAATAAGTAAGGATATGGAAAACTGAGTGACCAAAGGAATCTTTTCATATTTATTTCACCAGCACAATCTGTATAGACAGTGGCTTAGCCACTTTGTTGAGAGCAACAATTTTCTAGTTGCATTGACAATTTTAAACTAATAGTGAATTATTAGCACAGTGATACTTCCAATGAACTTTATCAATGTAGCTTTCTCTTAAGAAACCAAACCTAACTTTACTATTTGCTTTTCCTTCCCTTGCTACTAGTGAGAACCCCAGAAGGCAGTATCAGGCTGTACTGTAAAGGTGCTGACACTGTCATTTACGAACGGCTACATCAAAAGAATCCTTCGAAACAAGAAACTCAGGATGCCCTGGATGTAAGTTCCACCTTCACTCTGTATGCCACAGACTCCGTACATACTTTCTGGACCTGTTTCTTAAGCTTGATTGAAAGCTGTACGTTCACTGTTGATCCTTCCCTTGCCTTGGTGCGGCAGAGTGTAAAGAGCACTGGAGTAGGAATATGGCAGGCTGAACTTCCCACAAAATGACCAGCAGCCCTTTCCCAGCATCAGGTCGACAGAAACTGCAGGCCGGGCCCAGAGGAATGACCGGTCTTTTCCAGTGGCCTTGAACAAGCTACATAACCACACTGAGCTTAGTCTTAATATCCATGAGGACCCTCCGAGCTCCACCAGCCCCCTAATCTATGTGAAGGAAAGAAAGCATTTCTATTGGACAGGGTGTGACAAAGCCATGTGTTGGAGAATTGAGTTGTGGTACCTTGGTTAGTGAATCAGTTTGGTCTTCATTCCTTCAAACTTGTTACCTGAGAGGACAATGTACTTAGTCCTGTAATATTGCAATTATTCAGAATTGCCTACCAGTGCTCATGTTGTTTCGGTTCTATACAATGATGGCAATGAAGTATGGAGGATGTCCTGGTGAATGAAGACCTGGTGTCCCAGTTCTGCTTCTAGTTTTGTGTCCTTGGGGGAGATGACTGATGTTTCAGGTGAATCATTAATGGCTCGTGTGAAAGAGGAAGACGATAATTCCTCTTACCATGGAAGGTGGTTGCAAGGGAAAGTATCTGGCACAGTTGCCAGCACTTAGCAAGTGCTTAATAGAGGACACTTCCTTCCCTTCGCTCCAAGGGCCTGGTCCGGTTTTGAAGCCACCCGATGACTGTTTGTTTACTAATTGGACTTACTTACATTTTAAGATGAGATACTTTGTTAAAAAAGTTACAATACATAATTATCTCTCATGAGGATAGGAATTTAATCAATTTAATCAAACAAATGTAGAACCTTCCGAAGAATCTTTGAAAGCACACACTTGGTTCGGTGAACCAGGTCTGCTGTCTTGGCTAGAATGATGTGAGTGTGAAGTAATGAAACATTTTCACGGGTTCGTATTTTAGCTTAGAAAATGTTTACTGATTCCCCATGATTACATGTTCCAGGTATCGCCTTCTCGTTAAAAGGAGATGCTTCAAGTCAGCTGTAACAGTGGCTCATGTATTTCAGTACTGGTTTGAGGAAATAATGTTTACTCAAGAGCTCACAGCACATTGGGCTTGTAACACAGTTTTCAGGAACAGATTAAAGTTGTCAGCTCTGTATTTAAAACATCAACACCCTCAAGGCAGCTTCTGTGGTCTGTAATTTTCTCAGTCCTTAAGAGTAAAAGAGCCCTGGCTGGTGTGGCTCAGTTGGCTGGGCGTCATCCCGCAAACGGAAAGGTTGTGGGTTCAATTCCTGGGGAGGGTGCATGCGTGGGTTGCAGATTAGGCCCTGGGCTTGGGCATATTGATGTTTCTTTCCCTCTTTTTCTTTCTCTCTCCCCCTCTCTCTGGAATTAGTAAAGGAAAAACATTAAAAGAAAAAGAGAGCAGGAGAGAAAGGTTTTCTTCACCATAGTGACTTGATTTAGAAGAAAGGTTTATGTTTCTCTTTAACTAATTTGGGAACTAGAAACACAGTCTTAGGATCCTGGAGATACTTAGAAACACAAAGTATTTGTTTAAATTCCTCTATAAAGTGTATTTGTACGAATTTATCATTTTTCGTGGTCTCTTTTTAAATTCTCTTATTGTATTATTTCAAGTAAGATTTCAAATTTGATCTTGAACTACGCAAAACTTACCATTCTTTGGGTGGATGGGTTGTCTTTCAAATAAAACAGGTCTTTGCCAGTGAGACTCTGAGAACCCTGTGCCTTTGCTACAAGGAAATTGAAGAAAAAGAATTTGAAGAATGGAATAAAAAGTTCATGGCCGCCAGCGTGGCCTCAGCCAGCCGGGACGAAGCCCTGGATAGAGTGTACGAGGAGATAGAAAAAGACTTAATCGTGAGTTTTAACCTTCATAATATCCCCCACTGATATGCTAAACAAAACTGGAAATTTTATTAAGGTTTATGACATTTTGATCTCATGCTTGAAAGATAATTCTAACTTCAGCATTTGGATCTGATATAATGGAACTAGGTTATTTTGAATTTCTTTTGTTCAAGGGAAATAGAAGTTGTCATTATGGGAAACAGAAAACATTAAAAGAGGTTCTATATCTTGACTGGCGTGGCTCACTTGATTAAGCTTTGTCCTGCAAAGTGAAAGGTTGCCAGTTCGATTCCCGGTCAGGGCACGTGCCTGGGTTGTGAGCCCAGTTCCTGGTCGGGGCACATGGGAGAGGCAACCGATCAATGTTTCTCTCCCTTTCTTTCTCCCTCCCTTCCCCTATCTCTAAAAATAAGTAAATAATTTTTGTAAAAGAGGTTCTATTCTGCCCCGTCTGGTGTGGCTCACTGGATTGAGTGTGGGCTGTGGACCAAAGGGTTACCAGTTCAGTTCCCAGTCAGGGCACATGCCTGGGTTGCAGGCTAGGTCCCCAGTAGGGTCCACGTGAGAGGCAACCACACATTGATGTTTCTCTCTCTCTTTCCCCCTCCTTTCCCCTCTCCCTAAAAGTAAGTAAATAAAATTAAAATTAAAAAAGAAACTTTAAAAAAAGGTTCTATTCTGATTATTTTTATATTACTTATAAAAATTATAATTTTCACACAACAAGCCAGACTAAGTACATTGTGAGGGTTACTGAAATAATTTCTGTCTGGCAAAATCTTGAAACAAAGAAAACATACCATTTGTAAATTCAGTTTTTCAGAGTTTAACATTTATCGCCTGTAGAGTTTAGATTCATGGAAAATTTTGAACAAATAGTAGTAACTTTCAGCAAGAATTGGCTTATGTCCATATGAAATACCATACACATAATGAAAGTGTGTTTTCATTGTCCTTGATTTTGTACTTGCACGTTTGTCTTTGCCAACTACTTTAAAAAAGTAGTTTTTAGTGGCTTTGGTTTGGGGCGTGAAACACAGCAACCTTCCCCGTTCATGCCAGCCATGGGCCCAAGTAGAAAACCGACCGGGTACACAATTAGCCCTTGTTCTCTTTGCAGGCTAGCAACGTGTTAGTACAGCGCATGTATTGCTTATTTGCTAATTCATTTTTTTAAAATGTTCCTTGCAGCTCTTGGGAGCCACAGCTATTGAAGACAAGCTCCAGGATGGAGTCCCAGAAACCATTTCAAAACTCGCAAAAGCTGACATTAAGATCTGGGTGCTTACTGGGGACAAAAAGGGTAATTCGCTGTGTGGGAAGCCTGTGTGTTGACTCACAGACACGCACGGTTCCTGTGTTGGTGCCCAAGATGACCTCTCAGACTTTGCATCCTGCACAGACACTATCCTTCCTTCGGGACGTGGACACTTCCCTCAGAAACCTCACCCTGTTATTCCAGCCCACCCTGACTTTGGCCTTCCCCAGACTCTCCCAATTAGTCCTTGTAATGAAACTCCTGCTCGAGTCCTGCTGTCTGTGGTCAGTCTTGTGTCTCCAGCCAGACGTGGTTACTGTCCTGGCACGCCATCCTTCTTGGCTCTTCTGTCCTCCCCGACACTGCCATTTGTTGGCATAGCTTAGAATACTATAAAACACAGAACAACTCTTTTTTTCTTGCCCATTTTATTGCTTGAAAATTATAATTAAAATTTTATGCCCAAGGGAATACTTTAAATTTTTAGTTGAGTTCAACAAAGAGTTGGATGGTGTTTATTCTACTTTATTCCATAAGTGCCCCACTAGGAACCAGATACTTTCTCTTGCTCTCACTTCATCAATAGGCTCCACACTCTGATAGGCTAAGGGAAGCACACCCCTGACCTGAAACAAATGGGTGGTACTGAAAAAAGGGGGGGAAATCTCCAGTAGGAGACCCCTGTGAAGACTGATAGAAACGGTATCTTCCCTCCATAACAGAATGATTGAACCACATGAACTGAATGTGTTTAAAATGTCAATGAATACTGATTTATTAAATAATCAGTTAATGTAGTTGACAGCCCATTAAATTCATCAGTCGGAATGACATTTGACTTCATTTTTTCCTGTTGTAGAAACTGCTGAAAATATAGGATTTGCTTGTGAACTTCTTACTGAAGACACCACTATCTGCTATGGGGAAGATATAAAGTAAGTAAAAGTCGTACATGATGGCACTATCTAGCATCTCGTTCTTATGAACACAAGACCAGGTGTGGCAGACACAGCAGATACCGAGGGATGGAAGCTAGATTGTCACCTAAGGCAGTTTCCTCACATTTACATGACGCAAGGGAACAGCAGGCAGCTCTGACTAACCGTGTTACGTAACCACGTTATGTTGTAGGGAAACTTGGGGCCTTTAGTTGCACTTCCAGGAACCAGCTTTCTCTGCTGATACAGGAAGTGGGCCTAAGACATCGCTAACAGATTAATATGAATTACATTCCTATATTGTCTTTTCTAGGAATGCCACCTTTTCAAGGGAAAAAATAGAAGAAAACCCCCACAGTTCTGCCCCGAGGGAAATGTTTGGGTTACACTTGCAATCTTGTCTAGATGGGCAGGCCTGATATTTCAGTGCTGAAATATTCCATTAGCCCGAAGTCAGAGTTGCAGCAGACTTATCTTGATCCCTCCTGATTTTCAACTAGAAAGTAAAAATTAAGTTAATGTGGCAAATGGGTAGTAGATATCTAAGCCTCTAGGGCAGTTTTGCCTGCTGTGGAACATTTGGCAATGTCTAGAGTTGTCTTTGGTTGTCACATGGGGAGGAGAGGTGCTACTGACTTCTGGTGGGTAGAGGCCAAGGATTCTGATTAATGTCCCACAGTCCAAAGGACAAACATATTCAACAGAGAATTATCTGACCTAGGATTTGAATAGTGTCAAGGTTGAGAAACCTGTCCTTGAAAGTGAAACATCATGGCTCAGTGCGAGTGACCAGGACAGCCTGAGAGGAGACCTGAGTCTTCCTTCCAGTTTTCCCATCAATATGCTGCAGACAAATTACATCATCCCTGTCGGGCTTTATTTCCTTATCTGTAACATGAACAGATTGCATTTTTACAGACCTTTCCACTCCAAAAGCCTGTGACTCATTCTGCTACCACATAAATGTTAGATGTGGTCTCCTCAATAATGTGTTGATAAAACTCACTGAGCATTTCTCCAAACCAGACTTTACGTGGGAAGAAGTTTCTTTCTCCTGAATAGTAGCCCCTGCTTATAATGTGGGAGGGTTCACCTCAGTGTATTCCAATTCAGATGAAGACTGCCCTCCCGAACATATTTTCAATTGTATCTTCCTTGAGCTGTTTTTGGCAAATAAAGAAGCACCAAAAACATGGTACCCCCATCATGGAGGAATTAAGACAGTAAGATTTTATGTAACCCATTAAAAAATGGGCAAAGGACATGAATGGACATTTCTCCAGAGGGATATAGGAATGGCCAACATGCATATGAAACGATGCTCAACATCGCTAATCATTAGGGAAATACAAATTAAGACCACAATAAGATGTCACTTCACAACTACCAGAATGACTCCTCTCAAAACAAACAAACAAACAAACAAACAAACAAAAATCCAGTATGACAGCGATGGGCAAGGATATGGAGTGACAGGGACTCATTCACTGCTGGCGGGAATGTAAACTGGTGCAGTCACTGTGGGAAACACTGAAGTGTTTCATCGAAAGAAGTTAATATGATCCAGCAATCCCACTCCTGGGTATAACCACAAGAACTAAAAGCAGGGACTCCGAGAGAATATTTACACACCTACATTCACGGCAGCACTATTCACCATTGCCAACAGTGGGAGCAAGCCAACTGTCCATCAGTATACGAATGGATCCACACAATGTGTTATAGTCACACAATAGAATATTGCTGCCCCTTAAAAAGGAAGGAAATTCTGACAAATGCTATAATGTGGATGAACCTTGAGGACATGAGGCTAAGTGTGTCAGTCACAAAAAGAGAAATACTATATGATTCCACTGATATGAGTTATCGAGAGCAATCAAATTCATAGAAATAGAAAGTAGTGTGGTGGGTACCAGGGGCTGGGGGGAGAGGGAATGGAGAGTTATTTATGGGTAAAGAGTTCCAGTTTTGAGAGATGAAAAAGTTCTGGATATTGGTTATTATACTGGTATCCAGTATAACCAATGTGAATATACCAATATGAATATACAGGTACTTAATAATATTGAGCTGTACACTTAAAAATAGTTCAGATGATAAATTTTAACACTTTTCCACAATTGTAAAAAGATTATATGCACCTGTCAAAATTCTCTCACAGTCAAGGGCCTGTTCATGGCCTTGTACTTTAAACACTTCCATTTCTTTCCCCCAGTGCTCTCCTTAACACGAGGGTGGAAAACCCGGGGAACAGAGGTGGAGTCTATGCAAAATTTGCACCCCCGGTGCACGAACCTTTCTTTCCATCCGGCGGAAACCGTGCCTTAATCATCACTGGTTCTTGGTTGGTACGTACATCACTAGGGTATCTGCACCTTTGGCTCAAACGAAAGCAGTTCATTAAGGACCAGTCTTCGATGGTTTGCCTTATTAATTGCCCACCTAAAAATCTTTCAGCCTATACATGAAAGTGCAATTTCCCAAGTTTGAGACTTAATGTTCTTGTTTTATGATATATAAAAGAAATTATACTAAACTAGTAACAGTGGTTATACCTGGTTTATCAATTAATGGCTATTTAAAATTTCCTCTTTGTACATTTTTCTAAATTTTTATAGCAAATGTTTTATAAATAGAACAATGTAATCAATGACATAGTCCAAGAATTATCCTTCGCATCGTGAAAATCTTCGGAATGGAAATCTTGATATAAAAACTGAAATGGTTGTAACCCTTTCCCTCGGTGATTTCACAGAATGAAATCCTTCTAGAGAAAAAGACCAAGACAAGTAAGATCCTGAAGCTGAAGTTCCCACGGACGGAAGAAGAAAGGCGATTTCGGACGCAAAGTAAAAGGAGGCTGGAAGTCAAAAAAGAACAGCGGCAGAAGAACTTTGTTGACCTGGCCTGTGAGTGCAGTGCGGTCATCTGCTGCCGCGTCACCCCCAAGCAGAAGGCCATGGTGGTGGACCTGGTGAAGAGGTACAAGAAAGCCATCACGCTAGCCATTGGAGACGGGGCCAATGACGTAAACATGATCAAAAGTGAGTTCTGCACAGACAGCCAGTGTGACCCGAATTGCTAAAGATGTGACAGGGACATTTTTGAGGGTGGTTTACTCTGATTTCGTTGCTCGGGCTTTCATAAAGCAGATGTTTGATAAAGGGACCCTACCATGATGGCTACGCCTGTGCCCCTGCCCTCAGGAAGCTTACAGCGCCCCCAGTAGGAGACAGCAGGCATGACAATGCCCCTCACAGAATGCCAGGTAGAAACGAGGGCCATGTGGATGACTTTATCCTTGTTTCCTTCTTTTATGTGTTCTGATTTTTTCTCTCCTACCACTTCTCCCATATTTCTTTAGGGCTTATCAAAAATCCTTCTATTTAATAAGTTTTGGTAAAAGTTCTGCTAAGTTTGGTATACACTGTTGAACTCTCTCTGGTATTCATTTTGAGATTATTCTCCCCACCCCCCAAGCATTTTTTTCTGGGAGCTTTCTTCTTGCCTTTGGTAAATTTGTTAGAACTTCACCACTGGGAGACCTAGAGTGGGCTCAGAGTAACACATTTGTCATTGAAGCAAAGTTCCAAAATAGTCTCGCGGTCTCCCTGACTCCCCTAGAAGACGGCCAAAGGTCCTTCTACTGGTTGGAGGACCCTAGGTCTCCACAAATGAAAGGGTTTCGTCCCGTCATACAGAGGAATGCAGTTGTGTTGGTATCAACACATGCGGAATCGAACCCTCAACAGCACTCTGAATCCTGGTCCTTTTTTCTCCCTATATCACTGTACGGGATGTCTTGTGATGAAAAAACCAAGACTAGGGAGACCTGAATACTTGTCCTCATCCTGCTGCCAACATGCTCATCTGAAAATGAGGAAACTATCTCCAGTGTCCACTCCAGCTTTGTGATGTTACTATTCAGATGAACAATTACTGCATATGCATATGCGTATCCCGTAGCGCTGGGCAGTGTGTGTAACCAAATTTTATACTCAGCCGGTTTTGTGACTCACGCATCTGTCTTTCTTTTCTTAGAGTCTCTTCTCCTCCTCCCTGATACACGCTCAGAATATTCCAACTTCATCTTCCTCAACAGGGATCAGCTGTATGATGTATGTCTTCTTGCTTCTTTATTATGTGTGTCGCCACTGGCAGTTCAATTGCTCTCTGCTGTGTTTTGCATGTGGCTTGTGCTTCCATGCAAATGGCATGTCTTGCTCTGAATTAAATCTACTTCTTTCCTCTGCACTCAGCTTTTTCTCTCCCATTATACATCATTAGCATACCTAGATGTGCCAAAAGGGCAAGGAACTCAAACATTATCTGTATGCAGTTATAATGCAGACTTCTAGGTGTTTGACTGGGGGCAGGGGGGTAGTTACCTTGAAATTTACCCTCTGAGTTCACCTATTAATAGCAAAGGGATCATAAAAGTCAACATAGGTAATCTTATAGAGAGACTTATTTTTCTTAAGTTCTCTTAAGAAGTGTAATGAGCTCTGTTTATATGGCAGGTGCTTTTATATATAACCTATGGAGCATCCATTTGGAACAAAAATCGAGGAAGCTCTGAGGTTTCCTTGGAAGCCAGTAGCTTTATCCAAGTATTTTTAGTGCCTTTGTACTTTGCAAAAAAATGCTTGTTGTTTATAAACTAGAGTGACATTTAAGCGTCAGCACAAAGTCTGTCCCATTGCTAACAGGTTTCATATTTACAAATGCAGTGCAGTAGAAGCAGAGGCAATTGCAACCCGCTGCATTTTTGCCCCTAGTAAGGATCCAGGGACTCTCATAAGCTGCCCTCTCCCTCCCTTGTGCCTCAAAATGTCTACTGCCCGTGGCTGGTTTTTCTTGGTCTAAGGCCCTAAGAATGAAAAAGCAACATTAAAGAGAACAGGCATAGGTAGAATGGCTTGAGGAAATGATTCATTTGTGAAGGAATCTACTGGTTCCATTTAAAACCACATTTGAAACTTTAGGAAAATCTAGGCACCTATAGTTAGATTTAGGGGGGAAAGCTAGTGTAGCCTTATGAAGTACATCCACTCAGTTGCCTTGAACCACCCCGTGAATTATTGCACATTCTGTCCTTGGTCTGCCGAGCAGAAAGGCTGGACCAGATGCCAGGGCCTGTGGCAGGCAGTCCTCAGCCTCAGCTCCAACAGAATCTCACCATTTCCCTCGTTGCTTGTTTAGGGAAGACCATGGTTTAGTCATAACAGGTGGCAATCATGACTGGGGATAAGAACTATTTGTGTGTTTTGAAACAGGCCATAAATACTGCATGAGATACAATTTATTCCATTTTTTAGAATTGCAAAGTGTTGCTGAAGACCTTGGTTTACACAAGTCACTACATTTTACATTTGCCAGACCTCGTGTTCTGCAAACAGGGAAGGATTTTTGGAGTGTCTTTTACTTGGAAACTCTGCTGAGTTGGCAGCCACTTCTCAGGGTCTGAGTAATAGGCTGTGTTCTCCAAGCACATGTTCTCCAATCGATCTCACTGTCTTCACTTCCATGACTTCTGAGACCTAGAAAAAATGTGTAGTTCTCTAAAATGCATATGTGATTTATTGACTATTGGAATAATGGATAAACTCGTGACTATCATTTTTTCATCCATTCTGGAAAACTCCACTCCTACATACAAAATTTAAAACACATCTTAAGGTAATGGTAGGCATGATTCAGATTTTGAAAGTTTAATAGTATCCAAGTTAAAACTCTTTTGATTACATGTGTTGGAGAACAGCTAAAACTAGCTTAAGACAAAAAGAAATTTATTTTGAAAGATACAAAGATGTCTCATGCTGCCCAAGAAGCCAGGCCTCAGAAGATGCTGTCGCTGGGACCTGGAGTTTCACCAGGAACCGTGTCTGTCTGCCTGCCTTTCCCTCTGTTTAGTCTGGATGATTTATTTCTCCACCTTCAGAGACCCTCAGAGAAAATATATCCACACCACACCTCAAGAATTTACACTTTACAGTTTCAGACACAAACATACCCAGATCCTAACTCCAAATACTAACGGACTGATTGGGCCAGCTTGGGTGTACTATCAGTCAGGGCGTAGGACTTAAAGCACCTAGGGTGCTTTAAGCAGGAAGTGATTATACAAGGGACTGGGTACTTATAAAAGCTCTGGATGGACTGAAGAAGCTGGGTTGGTTATTATTTTTTTTAGTATATTTTATTGATAATGCTATTATAGTGGTCCCATTTTTTTCTCCCTTTTATCCTTCTGTGCCCTGTACCCTCCCTCCTACCAACATTTCTCCCCATTAGTCCATTCCCATGAGTTGTACATATAAGTTCTTTGGTTTGAAGAAGCTGGTTGTGGCCTGAGTATCTAACATCTCGTATCACTTACTAGAGGAGATTCTGCTTTAGGGATCTTCTGAAGAGCTTTCTCATTAAGAAGGCTTTGCAGTGGTTGGTCAACATCTGGCAGCTGGGGAATAGACATGAATGAACTCTGTTGCAGAAACGCTGAAATAAGAAGAGATGCTGGGCTTCAGTTCACGTCTGCTCCCAAGTATCAAGTGGGTTGGACAGTGGAACTTACTGTATTTTTTGGACTATAAGATGCAACCCTCCCCCCCAATTTGGGAGGAATAATGGCTGTTAATGCTGCTGTTGGGTGCTGTTTACATTTATATTGGTGACATATTATGTTATTTATGTTATTAAATATTCTGCCACATTTTTTGCTTCAAAATTCTTTTTCCTACTTTCCTCCTCTAAAACCTAGGTGCATCTTATGGCTCGAAAAATACGATAACTTACAAAGAGAACCTAGCTGTAAGGGAGTCTAGGCAATTTAGGCTTTTTACTTGTGTTCCCATCTGTGAGTAGAACAGGGTGAAATGAAGGTTGGGAGAGCCTATTCACACTGTCTACCAAAGATTTTGTATCTGCCCATGGTGGACTCAGCTGTGGCTAGGGAGTCAGGGACCCACTAGTTACACGTGGGTGCCTGGGACTCACCCTGTGAGAGGGAAGGATGGCTTATGAGCTGGACAGATAATCCAAATAGAATTCTCCATCCACCTGAGATCCTTTGACAAATATTTATGGAGGCCCAGCCATGCGCTCTGTTTAGCAACTTGTACTTCTGACATGGAATTGAGTTCAGAAGCTAGAGTGGGGAGTGGTGAGCAAGAATTTTATATTTGTTACTCCATATTCTTGTTTTGCTATGGAAGCATGATCATCTCCATGTTTTACCTTTGAATAAGACTTATGAGTAACAGCAGCTTCTCCCTCTGCCCCACAGCTGCCCACATCGGTGTTGGAATAAGTGGACAAGAAGGCATGCAAGCTGTCATGTCAAGTGACTATTCCTTTGCTCAGTTCAGATACCTGCAGAGACTGCTGTTGGTGCACGGCCGGTGGTCTTACATCAGGATGTGCAAGTTCCTGCGATACTTCTTTTATAAGAACTTTGCATTTACTTTGGTTCACTTCTGGTACTCCTTCTTCAACGGGTACTCTGCACAGGTGCTGTCATTGTGAGCTGTTCATTTGGTTTACAGGGTCGGTGCTCTGTCTCTTAACAGCTGCTTAAGACACAGATTACTTTTCTAAAGTGCTTCTGGTGCTTTAACAATATTTTATTTTGCCTTTAAAAGGGTAGAGTTTGTTCCTGGCCTGTTGGCTTTTGTGTCTTTGCTTTCACCTTGAATGTTGTTCTACGTTATCTTGCTATTAAAGAACAGTAATAACAAATGGTTCAACTATGAAAGTATAAAATTATATCATGACCAAGGCTAAAGGGATTATGTAAATATCAGATGATCAATCACAGATCTATTTTCACGTCTCTGTTATTGGATTTTATTTTTAGTTTTTGCTGAAACGGAAATGGTGGGCATATGTAGTATGTTGAAATGGTAGAACAGAAAAATATCATTAGTGAAAAGATGAACCTAAGTCAGCGTCTGTGGTTGCCCAAACCTCTGCGATGCTATGTCACAGACAAATGGTATCAGCCCGGCCTTAGAAACCGGGGCCAAGAGTGACCTGGAGCAGGGTTGGGGCCTTCTTCCTGTTTCCCTGCAGGACTGTGTGTGACTGCTGGTGCCGAGTAAGCCCGTTGCCTCTGTCCCACCTTGAGGACGGGTGTGTGCACAGCCTCACTTATCACTTTCAGCAGCACACTTCTTGTATCCATTCAAATTCTGGTTTACAAAATGTCTCAATGGCAATGCTGGACTTGCAAGATAAAAGTAGAGAAAATCTGAATGGTACTTATGTGCTTTTGAATAGCTGTTTTGGGTTTTAAGATTTTATTTATTTTTAGAGAGAGGGGAAGGGAAGGAGAAAGAGGTGGTTGCCTCGCATGCGCCCCCTAGTGGGGACCTGGCTTGCAACCCAGGAATGTGCCCTGACTGGGACTCAACCCACGACCCTTTGGTTCACAGGCTGGCACTCAATCCACTGAGCCACACCAGCCAGGGCACTGAATGGATATTATATTTTCCAATTCATGAAAAGACATAAGGGCTTGAACACTGACTCAATTTCCAGGTTTATTCAAATAGAATAGACTTCGTTCCTAAAAACTTTTGGGGGTACATCATCCCCACTTATTTAAGGCAAAAATCGGTTTCTATGGAATGTTTTTTTATTCTACCCATTACATAGAAACAAATTCATGCCATCTGCAGGTGTAGAGGAGGGGTGTTTGCTATGGCAGGAGTCCCCACTCAACCTGGGGACACCCTGCTTTAACGAGATGAACGCATGTCGACTAGGCTGGCACTACGTCTTGGCTGATGACGCGGGCTCTGTCCTCTCCCCACAGACTGCGTACGAAGACTGGTTCATCACCCTCTACAACGTGCTGTACTCCAGCCTGCCCGTGCTCCTCATGGGGCTGCTGGACCAGGTAGGAGCCTGTGCTGGCAGGGACCCTCGGCAGGCTTCTTAGGGAAGTTCAAAGCAAGTACAGTACTTCAGGGCTTTCTTTGGGGTATTCACCTGGTTCTGAGTAAATGGCATTACAGTTCCATTGCCAGACAATAAGAGGAACAGCTAGCTGTGCTTCTTGCTGAATGGTAAGAACAAAGGATGTTTGTGCCTGGGTTGAATTCACTGAGAAGAGTTTATAATCTTCCTTTGGATACTAAGGCTTTCTTGATATGTCTTTATAATAACTCACTCATTTTTAAAGTAAATTATTTCAACACTTTCCAAAACTTATTAATTCCCAAATTCACATTTTTATCTCATAGCAATTCTTAGAGAAAGTGCTTTAACGCATAAAAAAATAATTTGGAATGAACCCATCAACTTGTATGTAAAAATACTTTCCCAGAGAATAGGAAACAACATATTCTCTGAGGGGGCAAAAATAGCCTCCCTACGTTTTTTTGACATTACTAATTTGCACTTTCCATAAATAGCAAAATAATACACTTCCGTGGACTGAAGTAATGAGGTTGATGTCTGTACACTGAAAGTATTCATGACTTACCTTCTTCAGTGTTTGCCTTCATAAAACCTAAGTTGAAACCTTTTGTGACAGATAAGTTGTGTTTCTCTTGAGTTCTTTGGTTCTCGATGGAAAGTACACAGCTCTTGTGTTTTCCCCTCAAGGATGTGAGTGACAAACTGAGCCTCCGCTTCCCTGGATTATACACAGTGGGACAGAGAGACTTATTATTCAACTATAAGAGATTCTTCGTAAGCTTATTGCATGGGGTGTTGACATCGATGATCCTCTTCTTCATACCTCTGGGAGCTTACCTACAGACGGTGGGGCAGGATGGCGAGGCGCCTTCAGACTACCAATCTTTTGCTGTCACGATTGCCTCTGCTCTCGTGATAACAGTCAATTTCCAGGTGCGTGGTCTTAGTCACCTTTTCTCAGTATCTGTCGGTACCTGTATTTCCGTACACAGACCAGTGAGCTCCCACCCCCTCAACTGAACCTCAGCCACTTTACAATACATGAATGCTGTTTTCACCCCTTAGAACCAAGCACACTTCCTATTTCTTGCCTGAGCCGAGTTTGACAGTTTGATTGCTCAGATTGCAGCTAAGTCACGCCTACATTGCTGAATCCTTAGGTTCTCTATCTCTTGCTAATGCCCTAAAGTGAGTGCTCTGTTATTCTCTGGTCTCCCAACAGATTGGCTTGGATACTTCTTATTGGACTTTTGTGAATGCATTTTCAATCTTCGGAAGTATTGCACTTTATTTTGGCATCATGTTTGACTTTCATAGTGCTGGGATACACGTTCTGTTCCCATCTGCATTTCAATTTACAGGTTGGTATCTTCTCAGTTCCAAAAATAGGTGTACAGAAAAGGATGATTAGAGTCTGATACAACCTCTGGGTAAGAAAACACACAGGCTGCACATCACTGCTAGTGAGTAGAAACTGAACCGTGGTGGTGGGTTAGAAAGGTGGTTACATGATGGGAGGGAAGCAGATTAGGATAAACTTAAGATGCAATTGTGTATCTGTTAAGTGTGATGAAAGCTCTCCCTCCCATGAAGCCTCATGTTGGTAGCTAATTGGGAAATTGAGAGGACACGTACTGCGGGCAGCACTATATAATATGGTTTCATTGTTCCAAAACACTATCTAAGGATACATAATGAATATAATATTGTTTGTACATTCTGATCACTATTTCCACTGGCGGAAAATACTCTAAGGTGTAAAACACACCAAATTTTGGAAAGGTAATCTTTACAAAGATTGTACCACAACATTTCCACTTATTTTTTTAATGGAAATAACCCAAAGACCTAAGAATATCAAATTAGCTAGTCAAAGTAAGAATCCCATACGATAGGATTCTAGAACTCAAAAGTGGGCTACATCACTGGAGATATGTATGCAAAGAAATAAATACAGTTGCAGAAAATAGAATGGTTTACAAGTATATAAAATGTATGACAGCCCCTGCCAGTGTGGCTCAGTTGGTTGGGTGTCATCCCGTAAACCAAAAGGTCATGGGTTCAATTCTCAGGCACAGCACATGTCTGAGCTGTGGGTTCAGTCCCCAGTAGGGGCACAGAGGAGAGGCAACTGACTGATTATTGTTCTTCCTTCCTCCCTCCCCGCTCTCTACAAATAAATGAATAAAATCTTTTTAAAAATATATATGACAAACTGACAAATGCTTTGCACCAATTTCATAAATATTATAAATAAATATCATGAATTGGAAATTGTGAGCTTCTTTTTTTGAATAGAGTAGCTTGAACTTACATTGGCAAAAAAAAAAAAACCTACCCATAAACTTGTTTTCCTGTGAAACATTAGCTTTTTTGTTTTGTTTTGTTTTACTACCAGTTGTTGGGTTGTAAAAGAAGTTGCTGTGGCAACCCTCTTCTTCCTGGGATTGAGATCATTTTTTATTATTGCATTTTCCTTTACTGACTGTTTTAAAATTTTAGTATCTAGTGATTTAGACTATTCCCATAGGGAGTGGTTTTTAAACCCATACAAATTTATCAGTATAAAAACCACATTGAAAGAATCAAGGCCACTATTTTTAGAAACTTACAGTGTAAATACAGGAAGTGTGACAAATTTGGCTCTAGTTTTAAAATTTGGTAAGTCTATGGTTATCTGGTTGTATTACAGAAGTGAATCGTAACTTCCACTGACGTGAACTAGAGGCCAAACTACAGTGGAAAACGCCTGCTGAGTCGGATATGGGTCTTAATTCAGAGCTGCCCTTGCTAGTTTTCTTATCTGGGGCAGATGACTTTTCCAAGGCTCAGTTTCCTTGCATAGTGAAGAGGGACCCACTCACCTCTCAGACCCGAGTTCAATGGCATGATCTGTATGAAACACCTGGTACAAACCCTATCACACAAATGGCACTGCCCATTAATATTTGGGGTTTCAAACCAAAACCAGAAATTGGAAAGTGCTGGCATTTTTTTTTAAGTTACTGAAAAAAATTCAGAAGTCTGGATTGCCTAATTTCACATTTTTAATCAATGCAATGTAAACAAATACACATTTTTTCCTTGTCTGTTCACTTATGCACACTTGCCTCGTTCCAAAGAATCTACCTTCCCAGTCTGGCTTTGCGTAATCTGATTTTAAGATGCTGATTCCTTGAGCAGTGATGGGATGATTTGGGAGGGGAATCTGGCTGTAAAGTTTCACTACAGAGATTCCAACTATGAACTATTGACCAGCAACAGCTTCCTAAGGGTGAAAGGGCCCGGTGACGACTCCTCCGGTTTCTTACAGGCACAGCTTCAAATGCCCTGAGACAGCCGTACATTTGGTTGACCATCGTTCTGACCGTCGCAGTGTGCTTGCTGCCCGTCGTTGCCATTCGTTTCTTGTCCATGACCATCTGGCCGTCGGAAAGTGATAAGGTACAGGGGGGAAAAGCCTTTCTCCTAACTCTGAGAGCCCCTCGCAGAAGTCAAAAAAGCATTTCCTGGGTACAGCTTTCCAGCACAATTCTAAGCTCTTGGGAAGTCTAGTGTGAACATTTTCAATGACTACACCTCTTTCTCTAACTCCGTCTTGTATATAAGTCCTTTGGGGATCGCATTTTTGTTTGCTTGCTTTTTTATTACAAAAATTACCAAATATAAAAGGGAGAATAGTATGGACCTTCCATGTAACTATCATATCAATTTGACAATTATACACACTATTAACATTCTGCCATACAAATAGGTTGGGGTGTTTTTCTTCCTTTAGAGAAAAATGGCACCTTGTACCTGGATTCTTTGAGATACAAGTAACAGAAAGCTGTGGCTGAGCAAAAATGTATCACCTCAACTCACATGATAATTAGCAGCCTTCAGGCTCTGTTGATGAGCAACTTAATGTCATTAAAAAGTACTGAAGTTCTTTCCATCCCTCCCCTCCACTGTCTAACTAGCTTCATCTTAAATCCAGAGGTCAGCCCTACAGCAGCTCCGGACATCCAGTCGTCACTACACATCCACATCCAGGGGATGACTCCATCACCTTCCCTTAGGAGCCTGGGAACTTTCAAGGCAGGGCCCAGCACACCTCCCTCCAGTCTCATTGGCCAGCATTAGGTCCCATTGTTGGCTTAGTACAGAGCAGGGGAAATGAACCAGCCCTGGGAGTGGCCTCCACACCCCCGAGGCATGAGTCTGTGCGGGAGAAGGGGTTTCTGGATAAACTCAGTTTCCATCAGAGCACAGCTGCTAAGCAGACAACCTGCAGTAACCCCTGGATGTCCCTTTCGACTGACCAGTGTATGCAGTAGCAACAAGGGGAAGAAGAGTTTCCCCCTGAACCTGAACCAGTCTGATTTAAGAATGGGAAACAGTAGAGTTAGGTTCCCCATCTTCTAGCTCTGACACCTTGGAAACCGCGCATAACCTCCCTTTCTCTCTCTCTCTCAACCTGGTGTAAGCTGGTCTAGCTGCCCCACTCATGCTCGCGCAGGCCCCCCCCCTTTTTCCCAGACTTCTTCTGCCATTGCAGGCCTTCATCCTTCTCGGTCAGCCAGTGCCTTGTAGCCTTGTCCCATCTCTCTCCCTCTGTAGATTCAGAAGCATCGCAAACGATTAAAAGCGGAAGAGCAGTGGAAGCGGCGGCCAAACGTGTTCCGTCGCGGTGCGTCCTCTCGGCGCTCGGCCTACGCCTTCTCCCACCAGCGGGGCTACGCGGACCTCATCTCCACCGGGCGCAGCATTCGCAAGAAGCGCGCGCCCCTGGACGAGATCATCGCCGACGGCAACGCGGAGTACAGGCGGACTGTGGAGAGCTGAGGCTCGGGCCCCACGCTGGCCTGCAGCGAAGCGGGCACGCAGGGGGGATGTCTATTTTTTTAAATGAAACTCTCAGGACTATTTTTTAAAAACTGAACTAGTCACAAGGATTTTGAAGACATAACCTTGACAAACTACTTGGGTTGGACTATCAAGCAATAGCAAAGCCAAGAATGCCTTTTTTAAAGTCCTATTGTTCAACTGTTTATGTTCATCAAGATTCAAAGGGAACTTTCTAACCCAGTCTCAATCTAGGGCAACGGAGTTAGAAAATGTATTTCACTTCAAATGGTATTGGATTATTAAATTAGAATTCGATTTTTCAGCCTGGGGTCTTCAACTACAATTTCCCAGGGATCTTTTCTTTACAATGGTAATGACAAAAGGTTTGTGAATGTTCGCCACCTGGGAGCTCAGTGGTCCACGGCTTTTTCAGAGTTGTCAGGGGGCTGCATGTTTTCCTGTTCTCCAACTGGTTTACTAACACCATTCAACCCAGGAAAATTAGTGCAAATTTCCTAAGTACAAGGTTTCCGCCCGTTTCTGGTTACTGTGAGGTTAAAATAGCACATTACATACCTTTACGCCTACTATTCCGTGTTAGCGACTTCTTGTAGCACCAGGTGTGTTCATTCCCTACTTTTGTAAAAATGCACTTAAATATTTATGGGCTTTTTAAAAAGTTTTTTAAAAAAACTGAGGATATCAGTGATAAACTGCAGAATATTTTGCAAAGCTTTCTTTTGAAAAGCAAACTCTGTGCCTGCCTATATGTAAAGTATTTTATAAGAGACGTGAACAGAGACCTCTTTTTCACTTATATCTTGAGCGGAAAGGCTGTTGTTGGTAACCACATTTCTAAGACCGAGAGGCGAGAGTTATTCTTCCAGAAGCTTCTCTCATTCCAGGTCTCTCACCGTTTTCGTGAGGATGCAGAAGTGTTCTCGTGATTCTGTTCTTCAGGCTGCGGACGCTCCCGCTACCTGTCCCACTGAATTCCTAGGAGGGGATCTCAGTGTGTACATAGTTCATCTTCTAGATGTGATAAAAGAATGTATGGTTCTTTACGGAAGCAAATTTCTGAAAGTTTACAACTTCTCTATCTTGTAAATAAAAAAATTGTAAGTTGGTTTTTGTGTGTGTGTAAAGAAAAGTTAGCCTGTGTAATTCTGTTTCAAATCTCTCTTCCTGTTCTGCGAATTGTGGGAAAGGTCGACAATGCAAATGTGTCAAAGACTTATGTTGCTGGGTGCAATAATAACAATTTTAAAATGCAAATTGCTTTGGATAAATTATTTCTACGTTCTGTAAATCTGAGATGTAATGTATATTTTTGTTTAAAAAATAAATGATTTAGTAAAACTTTTGGAAAGTATAATCCTTTCAAATATCTTTTAAGCGGGGGCGTGTACTTTACCGTTGCATGTGCGACATTAGGAACCTGGGCCTGCGAGGCCTCTGCGGGCACGGAGGGCTCCTCTGGCAGTGAGGAAAGTCAGGGGCCCAGCGCCACGTGTTGGGGAGAAGTGACCGGGACCGGTGGGCGAGCACTAAAGGCCGACGGTGTGTGGATTTACAGACATGGTGGATGAAGTAATGGCAGGATGAAGAGGATTAAGTCCAGTTCCGAAAGAAGTCTCACTGTGGGTCTACTGCCATCAGCCTCGCACCTGTGGAGAAATGGAAGAGTCCGCACATGTGGCAGACTTGCCACAGCCGACCCTCGAGAGCCACCACCCTGGTCAGTGAGCAGCCATCAACATCAAGGCCAGACCCTCCACCACCAAAAGATTACAACTCACTGAAGACTGAGATGATGGCTAGCACTTTATGGCAGTATTTTTCAACTTAGGTATGTACATTTTTTTTCTTGAGGTGTAATGCTACCACACACTTAATAGACTATAGTATAGTGTAAACATAACTTTTATATGCACCGGGAAACCAATAAGTTAGTGTGACAGGCTTTGGTGTGGTACTCACTTTACCGCAACGCTCTGGAACCAGACCTGCCCTATTGACAAGGGATGCCTGGGTACCATTTACACTTCAAAAGATGCTGCTTTTACCGGGCAGAGAAAGACAAGTACCATACGCAGAGAAAGACAAGTACCATACGATTTCACTCACGTGGGGAATCCAATGAATGAACTAAAAGGGGGCAGACTCATAGATTGGGAGCAGGATGACAGCTAGTGGGTGGAGGCGCAGTTAGGCGATGGAGGAATTCAGCAAAAAGGAAAAAGGACTCACAGACACAGACTACAGTGTGGTGATGGCTGGGGGACGGCAGTATAAGGGGCCTGAATGGTAATGCAAGAAACGATAAAGATTAAATCATAAAAAATAAGCTGCTTTTTAAAAAGAAAATGGAGACATTTTTAAAAATGGAATTAAAATTTTTTTTTGTTTTGAGCCATACGAACATGTTATCTACTCCAAAAATTGAATTCAATTATTTTTAAGAGATTTTATCTTTAGAGGGGAAGGGAAGGAAGGAGAGACACATCAATGTGTGGTTGCCTCTCATGCACCCCCTGTCGGGAAGTGGCCTGCAACCCAGGCATGTGCCCTGTCTGGGAATTGAACCATGATCCTTTGGTTCAGAGGCCCACACTCAATCCACTGAGCTACACCAGCCAAGGCAAATTAAAATGATTTTTAAGCCAAAGAAAAAGGTCGTTTGAGTTGACATTTTTCCAGCTTCAGTTACAAATCCTCTCAAACTGAGAAGCTCCCAGGCCCACAAAGTTCTCACTAGACCAGCAATCCTCAGCTGCTTATTTTGCCCTTTGGAGTGACTGGGAATCCCAAGAAATGCCAGCTTCTGTTCATGTTCTAGACTGAGAACAGTGTGCTTCGTTAGGCCTTTCATAGGCACGCAGGCTTTGTCTGCCTTCAGGAAAGTCTGGGTAACACCTTGATGACAGGTCTAAGACCTGGAACATCAACACAACTTGAGAGAATGTTCCCAGTTGAAATAACTCCACGGACTTGTCTCTGTGCTGTGCAACCATCAACTAAGAAGACCTCGGTAGTGAGATGCACAAGAAGAAATCACTAAAAATGATGAGGAATGTGGCCTCAAAACTCGAATAAAATCCTAACACAGCTGTTTATAATAAATATAAGAGGTGGGGAAATTCTAACATGGAGAGAAATCCAAACCTGCCAACTAAGGATGGTGGTTGAAGACCTAGGATGTGCCTACCAAGTTCAAGATAAGGGTTACTCACTCTAAATAACCTGCTTAGGATCTCCAGTTAGAGAGACCACCGGTGTCTCTTTTGGCCCCCAATACTGTGAAACAAGAGTCACTCTGGAAGTGCTGTCATAAGCCCTGGAATATATCCTTGTTTTGTTTCCACCCAGGGATTAAAGATATTGGATCTGGCTTGTGAGACCAGTGCAGGAGGGTTCTTTAGCCTAGCATTTCTCATTAAAAATCAATTCTCCCAGGTAATCAACCTTTAGAATAGAGGTTGATTTGCCCACTGAGAGTCATCATCTTGCGGTTTCATTCTAAAGTGGTTCTGCTGAGCCAAGGTGTGTAACAAGTAAGCCAGGCTATGTAAATCCTGTAGAAGGTTTCAGGTTACCATCAGTTTTGTAATTTCCACCTACCATCAGCTTCCTTATTTAAATTTTGTGTGACCACCATAAAAATGTATGCTACTGAAGAGCTTAATAAATGTATCACTAAGGAATATTTCTAAAGGTAGACTTTTGGTTCAAGTTTTTGCAAAACTTGCATCAAGATTTCATTGCAAACACTTTGAATAAATGTGGACCAAGGAGAGCTTTTTTCAATTAACCAGGCTTGTCTAAGACTGGGATTTGTCTTAGGATTTTGTGGCCTGTGGTGAAAATACTTTCATGACTTGTTCCAACAGCAAAAAACCCTCATAAATCAAGAAATCATCAGCAGGCCCTCCAAGATTCCTAAAAGCCCCATCTCTTGTTAAACTGATGCAATGACTGTTCTTCAAACTAACCTGTGGGAGTTCTTCCTCACTGGTCAGAGGACACAACTCCTCCATTGGACTGTCTTCACCTTTCTCAAAGGCTACCCCAGATTCCACATTGTACCCAAACGAATGCAATGAAGAAATTCGCTCAGGCTGATGTTGTGTTGTTTTTGTTTTTTTTAAATATATTTTATTTCTTTTTAGAGAGGGGGAGGGGAAGGAGAAAGAGTGGAAAAGAAACATGAATGTGTGGTTGTGTCTCATGTGTCCCCTACTGGGGACCTGGCTTGCTTCACAGGCCTGTGCTCAACCCACTGAGCTACATCAGCCAGGGCTAACTGTGCTTTTGAAAAGTAATGACTTCCCAGGGCAATACAGCCTGGCGAGCAGGTGGTAGGGTTGTGGTGGATCCTCAGAGCAAAAGGAAGTCACAGAAGGTTGCCAGCTCCAGGGTGGAATTTGGGGGGTGTGTTTGTAAGTGTCCACCCTGGATGGAGTGTGGAGGTTAGAATGGGGAGCTGAGAAGGATAGGACAGGAAGGATACTACCTGCATTGCACTAGAAGGAAGGGATGGGCACTGAAGCAGGGAATTTTGAGGATTCTATGGGAGGAGTGTCAGAGAGCTTCTATGTAACGACATGATGGAAAAGACAGGTCATGTGCTGAGAGCTGGAGCAGTGGAAAAGATCTGCAGAGTCTGCGACATTCTGACTCTGAATTCTCCAGGGTGAAGGGGTGGGTGAGGGTAGAGAATGGGGCAGGTGCAGCAGCAACCATCAGCAGTTTGGCTGAAGGCTTAAAGGTTTGATGCATGCAGGATCCTGGAACAGACGAATCACAATGAATAACTATAAATAATTTTTGTTTGGTATTTAAGTAAAAATAAAAGACATTTTTCATTTTTACCAAAAACTTTATTAAACAGCATATTTACTGTTTTGTTCCACTACCTTTTGCCATCTTTCAGGCAACTTCAGTAGTCCATCTTCCCACAACTTTTTATCTTTTTGAGCAAAGAACTGTTCCAGATGCTTTCTGTAGTCTTCCAGGGAATTGACTTTTTTCCCATTAAGAGAATTTTGTGAAGACAAAAATAGATGGAAATCCAAAGGTGCAACGTCTAGTGAATACTGCAGAAGTAAAACGTCCTGGCCAAGCTGTAAAATCTATCCTGATGGAAAATTATGTGTTTTCTGTTGACTAATTCCAGATGCTCTTCAAGTGCTGCTTTCAGTTGGTCTAATTGGGAGCAGTACTTGCTGGAATTAATCGTTTGGTTTTCTGGAAAAAGCTCATCACAGAGGACTCCTTTCCAATCCTTCCATGTATACAACATCAACTTCTTTGGATGAAGACAGCCTTTGGTGTGGTTAGTGGTAGTTCATCTCACTTGCACCACAATCTCTTCCATTCCACACTATTGTAAAGTATCCACTTTTCATCTCTGTTTACAATTTGTTGTAAAAGCAAAAATTTTTTGTTGTTAAGTAAAGAATCGCATGCAGAAATATGGTCAAGAAGGTTTTTTTCCCCTTAACTTATTGTGGATGCCAAATATCGAAGTAGTTAATGTAACCAAGCTGGTATAAACGATTTTCAACACTTCATTTGGATATTTTGAGTATGTCGGCTATCTCCCCATGGCATAATGTTTATTGATTTCAATTAATGTCTCGATTTGATCGCTATCAACTTCCCCTGGAGGATAGTCCAGTGAGAAATCTCCAGCACAAAACTTCGCAAACCACTTTTGACACATTCGATCAGTCACAGCACCTTCTCCATACACAGCACAAATCTTTCGGTGTGTTTCAGCTGCGCTTTTACCTTTCTTGAAATAATAAAGCATAATATGCCGAACATGTTGCTTATTTCTTTCCATCTTCAATATTAAAATGGCTATACAAAAAATTCAACAATTTTGATAAGCTTTTTAAAATGCACGCTGATATGACAGCTGTCACAGTATAATCTAACAAAATTGTTTCAAATGAAGTTAAAGACAGCTAAGTGCTATTAGAGCTAGCTTATGGAGAAACATAACAAACTTTTTGGCCAACCTGATACACCCTACTTCAGAAAGTTCACTGGATGCCAAGCACATACTAGGCATTTTTGCATGCTTGATCTCACATCAACCTCATTCCAAAGAAAGCTTATCATCATTTTACAGTTAAAAAAAAGTCTGGTTCAGAGAGGTTAAGGAATCCAACCAGGGTAACCACCCGAGTTCTGAGTCCTACAGTAACACACAGGTATACCTTGGAGGTGTTGCAAGTTCTGATCCAGAACACCACAACAGAGTGATTATCACAATAAAGCCAGTCATAATCTTTTTGCAGGTGGAGGATCTTGCCTTCAATTTCTAAAAACGC